TCTGCTGCCTGACTTGACTGAGCCTCCGTACCCAGGTCAGCTCGGCGGTCCTCTCGCGCCATCTAGTGTACTAAAGGTGGAAGTGATTCAAGCACGTTGCAAAGTCCCACCGGGATTCCACAAGATCCACCTGGTACTTCCCAAGCATCAGCCGACACACTCTGGACACGGAGAGGTGTGGCGCCTTTTAAGGGAGACACGTGGAATTAACATTTGTTAATCACTTGTTGTGGACTGGGCGGGCACTCCAGCTGTATTTACTGAGCCAAATGATAAAGAGTTGATCTCTGGATTCGTCTGTGCTCAACATGAAGTGGTACTGTTTAAAAGATCACTTAGGCGGTATGAACTTGTGTAGTATAAGAATTGACACTCTTGGCCAGGCCTGGTGGCTCCCGCCTGTAATCTCAGCACTTTGGGAGGCCGAGGCGGATGGATTGCCTGAGCTCAGGAGTTCGAGACTAGCCTGGGCAACATGGTGAAACCCCATCTCTACTAAATACAAAAAATTAGCTGGGTGTGGCGGCATGTGCCTATAATCCCAACTACTCAGGAGGCTGAGGCAGGAGAAGTGCTTGAACCTGGGAGGCGGAGGTTGCAGTGAGCCGAGATCACACCATTGCACTCCAGCCTGGGCGACAGAGCAGGACTCTGTCTCCAAAGAAAATTAAGAAAAAAAAAAAAAGAATTGACACTCTCCAGCTTGCCTCCCACACCTCTGAAAACCAGAAAGTTCCAGCTGGGAAAAGGTAAAGTCGTTTGCTCCCATAACCCAGAGGTTCAGAAAGGGGACTTTGGTGAGCATCAGTCACATGGAAGCTTTAAATCTCCAATGCCCCGCCACACCCCAGGCCAACTAGCTCAGACCCCTGCAGTGGGAACCCGGCCTTAGAAGTTGTTAAAGCTCCGCGTGTGATTCCAGGAAACAGCAAAGCCGCCAACCACTGCTACAGCCTTTACCATCAGAGGCTTGGAAGGCAAAGACGTCCAGTGACACAGGTCTCAGCTACGGCGCGAGAAGCAGAAGTCTACGCTGCCTGTCCCAAACACACTCCCCTAGACCCAACCTGCTTCCTCTGTGACATCCTGAACTCCCTTTTATCTGTCAGCAGTTTAGTCTCCCTTTGTGATTATCACAGCAAAAACTGGAATTGTTGACTGTCCCAATCATTGCTGAGTGGGCTCTTGGTTTCTCTGGTCTTGGCCCTATCTTCTGAATCTGGGCATTAGGAAGAGATTTCAGGGTTCTGAGCAGTTTCTGTGGCACCGAGACAATGTTTTCAACGGCAACAGGAGAGCCTCTCCCCCAGCACGAATTCCACAGAAATGGGAGAAGGCCTGCTTTGGGCTCACTCACCCTTCTCGGCCCTCTAATAACAGGTATGCCCTGTATGAGATCCAGGTTGTCAGTGTGATGAGGAGGGGGCTGTAAAACTGAGATGGGGCCATTCGAGGCGAGGCTGCAGCGAGACAGACGGGCTCGCTCTTTGCCCTGCGGCTAGGCCAGGGAGTGGAGCTGCCCGGTTCCTCCAGAACAGCCTGCAAGGTGAGGCAGTCACGCGGCCTTTCCCAAAGCAAAAACCAGACAACACAAATTGCTTGAAGGTGGCAGGTCCCCTCCCATACCCTAGACTGCCTAACTCAGGAGGCAGAAACAGGTATCACACATCACAGGCAGGAACTCAGACACCAGACACTGCTGGGTTCTAATCCCTGCCACGTGATGTGGGAGAAGTCATTTGACCCGTCTATGCCTCAGTGTCTTCAACTCTAATAAAAGATGGAATACCTACCTCATAGAGCTACTGTGACAATTAGATGAGAAAGGGATATCATGCCCGGCACCAGGAGGACACAGTGGCTGTGAGTCCCACTCCACGTTTTGTTTTTTTTTTTACAGACAGGGTCTCACTTGTCACAGGTGGGTGACAACCATTTGGGTCAGTGGCATGCAGGGGTAAAAGAATTTACCGACAGCTGTAGGTAAAGAAAGGCAGATTTACGCGAAGAAGAATGAAAACATGTTGTGAGGAGGCAACGGGCAGATCAGCAGAGGAGGAGCTGACTGCCAGAGACAAAGGTTCCTAGAGATTTATAGGATGGTTTCAGCTGCAGAAGGCTACACGCAATACTGATAACGCCAGGGCTGCAAGGAGCTAACGTGCCTTTTTCTATCAGCCAAGGTGTCTGATGATAAACGGAAGTGTTTGATGTTAAGGTGGGTGCAGGAGGACTGTGGGTAATGTATGTTATCTGCACTGGAGTGCTATGTGTCCTGGACCACGAAGAAAGGGAGGCTGATAACTTACCTGCTTTATCTCTTTAACTCCCTCAGTCCCACCAGCCTGACTCCTTTGGCCTAATTAGGCCTCCACAGATTTGTCATCCAGGCTGGAGTGCAGCTGTGTGATCATAGCTCAATGCAGCCTCAAGCTCCTAGACTCATGTGATCCTCCTGCCTCGGCCTCCAAAGTAGCTAGGACTACAGGCACACAGCACCACACCCAGCTATTTTTTTAAAATTTTTTGTAGAGACGGGGGTCTCACTATGTTGCCCAGGCTGGTCTCAAACTTCTGGCCTCAAGTGATCCTCCCACCTCAGATAGTAACAGCACCTGCTACTATCTACCTTGTTAATTACAGCCATCAAGGTGTGGAGTGGTAACCTTACATTTTTATTAAATACATTGTATTTTGGGGACTTTTTTGTTTTTTGGTTTGAGACGGAGTCTCACTCTGTTGCCCTCGCTGGAGCGCAGTGGCATGATATTGGCTCACTGCAACCTCCGCCTCCTGGGTTCAAGCGATTCTCCTGCCTAATCTCCTGACCTCGTGATCCGCCCGCCGCGGCCTCCCAAAGTGCTGGGATTACAGGCGTGAGCCACCGCGCCCGGCCCGGGAGTTGTTTTTCTGTTTTTTGTTTTTTAATTTTCTTATAGCCTACTGTTAAAACTACATAGAACAAAAGGATATTAACACAAGAAAATAGTGAAAGGTTATAAGATGAAGATGAGAAACGGCCTCTGAAAGGTGAGAGGGATGAGCACAGGAGAGGAATGTGTTGGTGGGGGCAGGCGCTGGTGTGCTGTCGGTGGGACTCCGCATGTCTGGGGGACGCTGGCATGTGTGTGAGGGACACAGGAGTGTTGTGTGGGGACACTGGCGTGTTGTGTAGGGATACTGGCGTGTGTGGGAAATGCTGGCGTGTTGTCTGTGGCGACACTGGTGTGTTGTGTGAGGGGTACTTTGATGTGTGTGTGGAGGTCGCTGTCCTACTGTGGGGGGCTCTGATGTGTGTGTAGGGGTCGCTGTCCTATTGGGGGCACAGATGTGGGGTCGCTGTCCTATTTTAGGGGGCACTGATGTGTGTGGGGGTCGCTGTCCTACTGTGGGGGGCTCTGATGTGTCAGATGGTCGCTGTCCTACTGTGGGAGGCTCTGATGTCTGGGGGAGTCGCTGTCCCATTGCGGGGGCCGCTGATTGTGGGGGGGTTGCTGTCCTATTACGGGGCCGCTGATTGTGGGGGGGGCTCTGATGCGTGGGGGTCGCTGTCCTATTGTGGGGGCGCTGATGCATGGATAGACAGTGGGCTGGGCTGGAGAAAGATGCATTGTTCCTGCTCCTTCCTTCCTCCGTTTTTTTCCCTTTAGTTCCCACAGGGCGTTCTGGACTGTGGACTGTAAAACAATCCTCTCACAAGGGATTCCTGACAAGGCTGTTCAAATATCAGCCCACAAGTCACGAGTTCTGCTACAGGTTCCCCCTCGGGACAAAACCTGCTGCCCAGCATTTACCTATAGTACGGAAGGCAGCAGCCGACCACCAAGGAGGAGCCAGAATTGCCTCTCTGGACCCCAAGGGCCCCGGCCAGGAGTTTCAGTGAGAAAGCCATTTTCACAGAATTACAGACCTATTTCCTCAAACATCACTGCCAGCCTCCAGACTTCACACCCTCCACAGAGGAGGGCCTATTCTATGCTTAGCTGGAAAAAGCATGGAGGAATGCCTCCAATCATCCTTCTTGCGGTCTGTCCCCTCAGGCCAAGTCAGCAGTTGGAGGTTTACCACCCAAACTCAGAACCAGACACCAACAGGGGTGCGAGTCTTTAGGAGCCTCAGGCACACCCAAAGCACCAGCAAAGAGAAAACCAAGAAAGATGGCAGGGGGCGTCCGGGGAGGGCGGTGGTGATTAAAGAATAAGGAAGAAAACAGCGCCATTGGTTACACAGCAGTGCAAGCTGCCTCTCCCTAGGTGGGGAAAGATGGGTTTGCTGCCGTCAGAATGATTTTACAAGAACAGCTTGCCACTGGAGTCTTGGAGTCCAAAACAAAAGAGCAGCCAAAAGAAGTGTGTGGAGCCACAGCTTTCTTGCAAAGGGTCTGTGACTTCACATAACTAGCATTGTCTACAGTCTCATACTACTATTCTTTAAATGCAGATCTGCTGTGCTGATGGACTCTTACTCAGCTGTAGATAAATGCAGATCTGCTGTGCCGACGGAGTATTACTCAGCTGTAAATAAATGCAGATCTGCTGTGCTGATGTACTCTTACTCAGCTGTAAATAAATGCAGATCTGTGCTGATGGAGTATTACTCAGCTGTAAATGTGTCTGGGTAGCTGCTTTTTGTCACTGTGTGTTTTTAAATTTTTATTATTTTGAGAGACAGGGTCTCACTCAGTTGTCGCCCAGACTGGAGTGCAATGGCGCGATCCTGGCTCACTGCAACCTCAAACTCCCGGGCTCTAAGCCATCCTCCTGCCTCACCCTTCCGAGTAGCTGCGGCTACAGGCACAGGCCACCCCGCTTGGTATTTTCTAAATTGTTTTATGGGAGGGGTGGGGGAGGCTCATTATGTCAGCCACGCTGTTCCTGGACTCCTGGGCTCAAGAGACTCTCCCCCCTCAGCCTCCCCTAGAGTGATTACAGGTGTGAGCACCGCACCCGCCCATTGTGCATTGTTTCTAATCACTAGATGAGGAAAGCACAATGACCATGTAGGGCCTGCAAAGTTTTTAATGTTCAAGGGGCTGTCCATTTTGAAAGGTGTAAAGGGATGAACATATTTAGGTGCATTCACAGGGAAGAGGAGAAAGAAATTCTGGCACAGCACAGGGGTCAGGAAACTTAGGGCCCACCACCTGTCATTGTCAATAGGTTCCCGGGAGCCCAGCCTTGCAAGTGGTTGACATGCTGCCGATAGCTGCTCTGCAGAATCGCTGGGACTAAGGCCACAGGTCCAGAAAGCTTCAAATGGTCACTACCGGGCCCTCCATAGAAGAGTCTGCCCACTCTCCATACAGCGTATGATGAAATACACTGCATTATACTGAATATTGAAAAAAGGAAATATACTGCAACTGTTGAAACATAAAAACAAACTGTATATACAAACAGGGAAAGATGTTCAAGAAATCATGAGAAAGTTTTATTTTAAACTCTGCCTGCCTTCTGAGGCCAGCAGGCCCCGTTCATTTGGTTTCGCTGGGCTCCAGTGAGAAAGGAATTTCAGTTCTTGGGAAGAATGAACCCTGGGAGGGTAAACAGGACCCTGGGCAACACTGTCTATGCAGCGTCTCCGGCATGGGCCTGAACAGGACCAGCAGCCCCTGCGTTACTTATGCAGGCAGTCCTGAGGCCACAGGCAGCTGAGAGCTGTGCAGGAAGCGCCCCTTTTCCCCACCCAGGGTCTGAGCAGGATCAAAACTCAAGAGTAAGAACAGAGGCCAAACCATCACCATGGTTTGCAATCAGCTGACCTACACTGAACCCCAGAATCAAGCAGACAGGCCCACCGCGGATGGGCCAGCTCCCCAGGTTGGAAGGCCTGCCCAGGACAGCCGCCAGAACAAAGCAGAAAGGGCCGCTGGCTAAGCCAGTTATTCTTCCCAAGTGAATAATTAGACAAGCGCTGCCTTGGGAGGCCAGGAGCATGTTTAGAGGACATTCCCTCCTCTTGGAAGCCCTGTGTCCCCTAGGGGACTCTTCAACGCCCACCTCAGTGCAGTCACACAGGGAAGGGCTGGCGGCTGGGCCACCCTGGCAGGAACCCAGGACTACCTCACACTTTCCCACACTCACCGCCCAAAGCCACCCACCGCCAACCTGCCCCTTAACCCAACGGTATCAGAGCATCTTAAAAGCACAACCGCTAGACTCTGAGAGCTGCTGTGTCAGATAAGAAGCAGGCCCCGTGGTGACAGACCACACACGGACACAGCTGGCTCCTGGCTCCCTGGCAGTCCGCCTCTCTCCTCACAGTTCAGCACTTTATTCGGAAGAGCATTAGACGTGCTATCCAGACAGCTTGTCCACCTTCACTCACAGCCTCACAGTCCCAGAACCTGTGCTGCCCCCTGCAGAAATCCTGCACGTCCTGGGGGCAGCCACCGCCCCAGGCCACGATGACGCTCTTCAAATTAACTTCTGTTTCTGTAGGAAAAGCAAAAAGAAAAGGATGAAGTTCCTAATTGTTGAGCAGATGCCACTCTCAACTCTAAACTATATAAATTTAGTCCATCAAACCTTAGTCTAAAATGTGTGACTAACACCCACCAGAGGAGGTGACCAAACGCGCTTTGGTGAAATCAGGTAAAAGCTGTTTGCAAACTGTGCAGGGTCTTGGCAGATGCCCTGAGAATCTTTAACTCTTCCGTCCACAAGGATTCCACCAAAGTTAGTTGGTTTATTAGGGCCTCTTTTTCATCCTTCATATGAGACACCTGAAAGATGTTTTTTAATTATTGTTATTGCAGTTATATATATATCATAGAATGTACCTTTTTAACTAATTCTAAGTGTACGGTTCAGCAGCATGAAGTACATTCGCACTGTTACAGACTCACCACCACTCTCCAGCTCCGGAACTTTTTCTATCACCGCAAACAGAAACTCTATAACCATCTATCAATAACCCTATTCCCCTCTTCCCCAAACCCCCAGTTACCTCTGCTCCACTCTCTGTCTCTATGAACTTGCCTGTTGTAGGAACCTCACAGAAGTGAAATCATACAGTATTTGTCCTTTTGTGTCTGGCTTATTTCATTTCCATAATGTCTTCTACATTAAAATCACTCTTTAAATCCCAGGCATGTTCTCATACAAATGAGCTGATTTCTCATTTAACTAAAACATTTACTGAACAAACACATCAATAAGAAAAAATGCTTGAAGTCATACAGTAACTTTTACTTTTTACCTTTTTTACTTTTTACCTTTTAATAAAAGGTAAAGGCAAAGATATGGAGTCAACCTAAGTATTCATCAACAGATGAAGAAACAAAGAAAACGTGGCATATATACCCAGTGAAGTACATTCAGCCTTATTTAAAAAAAAAAAAAAAGGAAATTTTGTCATTTGTGACAACATGGATGAACGTGGAGGACATGTTGTCACATGGCAATAAGCCAGCACAGAATGACAAATATTGCATGATCTCACTATATGTGGACTCTAAAATCGTCAAACTCATAGAAGCAGGGAGTCAAATTGTGGTCACCAGAGGCTGAGGGGTTGGAGGGGGATTAGGGAAATATTGATCAAAAGACAAAATCTCAGCTGGACAGAAGATTAGTTCAAGAGGTCTACTGTACATCGTGGTGACTAGTTAGTAACGACATATTATGTACTTGAAAATTGCTAAGAGTAGATTTTAAGTGTTCTCACCACAAAAAAATAAGTGTATGTGATCATGCATATGTTAAATAGCTTCATTTAGCCATCTACAATGTATATATATTTTAAAACATCATGTGATACACTATAAATACATACAATTAAAAATAAAGAGGCCAGGTGTGGTGGCTCATGCCTGTAATCCCAGCACTTTGGGAGGCTGAGGTGGGTGGATCACCTGAGGTAAGGAGTTCGAGACCAGCCTGCCCAACGTGGTGAAACCCCATCTCTACTAAAAACACAAAAATTAGCCAGACATGGTAGTGGGCGCCTGTAATCCCAGCTACTCAGGAGGCTGAGGCAGAAGAATATGGAGGTTGCAGTGAGCCAAGATTGTGCCACTGTACTCCAGCCTGGGAGAAAAGAGCAAGACCCTGTCTCAAAAATAAAATAAAATAAAAAGAAAAAATAAAGAAAACAATTGAGAGAAAAAGCATAGGGACAAGGTTAACAGTCAAAAATGGAAGCCGGACACAGTGGTTCAGGCCAGGTGCAGTGGTTCACACTTGTAATCCCAGCACTTTGGGAGGTTGGGAGGCTGAGGTGGGTGGATCACCTGAGGTCAGGAGTTCGAGACCAGCCTGGCCAACATGGTGAAACCCTATCTGTACTAAAAATACAAACATTAGCTGGGCATGGTGGTGGGCACCTGTAATCCCAGCTACCTGGGAGGCTGAGGCAGGATAATTGCTTGAACCTGCGAGGTGGAGGTTGCAGTGAGCCAAGATCGTGCCATTGCACTCCAGCCTGGGCAACAAGAGTGAAACTCCATCTCAAAGAAAACAAAAATAGAGGTAATTACATCAACATTTATTTATTTAAGGCACTAAACAATGCTCTTATGAAATGCACTATCCCTAATAACATGTACAAAACAAGGAACTGCTGAATCCAGACACTTCTTTAAGGATGTCACATTCTGGAAACATACCTTTTGAAGCACAGCATTAGTCTCTTCCATGAAATAATAGCATATTTTCTGGGCTATGTCCAAACTTGTCTTCTCATTCGTATCTGAAATTACTTCCCCAAGAAGTACTTTTTTCCAGCATGTACTAGAACCAAAATGTTCCATGACACAATTTTAGCAGGCTCTCAAAAAGCAGACTTTTCTATTTCAATGCAACACATAAACTCCTTCTCCTGTTTCTCCAGGAGCATAATACAACTCATTCCATAAGCAGACTCCCCAGACCTCCACGCCACTTGTAGCTCCTGTGTGGAAGCCGACCAGGTAATAAGAAAGGAGGAGGAGGAGCTGAGAAGAAAAAGCACGAGGGGTGGGTGCTCTCTGCAGGCAAGGACTGAATGTTATCATCATGACAAGCCTGTGTCTGACCCATAAGTGAATGAAGTCCTGTCCCCGGCCATGGGAACGAAGCCAGTGACAGAACAGGAGGGCGAGTCCACAGCCGAAAGGCAGAGGACTAAGGAGCAAAGGTAGGAGTTTTCCTTCTCTTCAAGTGACAGTCTGTCCAAAATAGTAGCAAACTGGGACACAATTCACAAAGCCAAATGCTCTGCGTCTGGAAGGAGGAATCTACAGCAAGCCTCTATCCCCAAGCAAGTCATTCCAATGCTCTACTACAAAGGCTCGCAGGAAATGGGGCTCAGTCAGCAGGCAGGGCCCACTCTGGCAGGTCTGCTGTGGCAGGTGCAAGGGAGCCACAGCAGGATGTGGAGCAGAGGTGGCAGCACCAGACCTAGACACTAGAAAGAACTACCGGGAGAAAGAGGATGGAGGACCGGATTCTGAACACCGAGAATCTGGAAGTGGAAGTGGCTTCAAAGGGGAGGAAAGATGGCTGCTGTGGAAGTAAACAGGAGCCCATTAGAATTCAGAACAGCTGGCAAGACACAGCCCGGAATAGTCTCAGAAGGCTTCAGCGTCAGAGATGACAGGTGAAATGAGTTCTCAGGAAAGAAAAAGGAAATGATTGTGTCAGGCATGGTGTTCATGAATAACCATTATCTAATTTAATCTTCACAGTTACCTAGCAAAGAAAGCACGATTATCCCCATGCCAGGGCTCACTCAGGAAAGTTGAAGCACCCACCCTAAGTGACAGAGCTAATGAGAGGCAGAAAGAACTGCAAACACGCATCAGCCAGAGCCCACACATGTTTTCTCCACCACCCACTCAGTAAGCAGTAACTCAAATGGAAGAAAAGAGGCCTAAGGAAGACCTTTGGGAAACAGCCAGTTGTTGTATTTAATTTTAGGCTGAAGTGTCCAAAAAGGACTCATACCTTGTTGCCAAAAGGATTTAAAGAAGCTTACATGAATGCACACGAAATAAAAGGTAAGATGAATGAAGGCAGAAAACAAGACAAAGGAAGAAGGGGGGAGAAAAGACAAGACACAGCAGGAACGGGCCAGTGTGAAACCACACGCCCTAACATTAGGTACATTTGGATGGACCTCAGATTTGCCTCTCAGTTTTCCAGTGAACAAGAAAAAGAAGGAAACATCAGTTAAAGAATTCACAGTATCTGTAAGATAAAAACACTCCATTTGCTAAGAATAAAAACAAAAACTATGTTTGGTGTTGAGACCAGGGAGAAATTTTACTCCAAAAGTTCCTAGAGAAAAAGAAGGAAGCAACATCATCTCATCCACAAGAAGAACAGGCATCACGGAAGGGGCACCAACTGCTCCCAGGCACTGTGCCTCATCTCAGTCAGTCCTCCCAACTGCTCAAGGACAGCCTGCACCATCTTCAAGAGGTTCTCCCTGGATATCTAGCAGCAGAAGGTTGAAGGCTGCTCTCCCTGCCAGGGACTCAGGCCGAAGCTGCCCCTGCACTGGGTACAGCACAGCTGGATGTGCCAACAGGTGGCTGCGGGGAGCAGGACTGACAGCAGGCAGGAACATGAGGGAGTCTGGCCAGGATGCACACCCACACCGGGGGCTCCCCAACCTGCCTCCCCCATGGAAAAGTCCAGCTCTTCAGCCAGGCTTCTGGATCTGCCCCAGGGCAGGACCGATGTTAGGAGCTCGAGCTCTACTTGTCCCGGCAAAACCTACCTACTCTCAGACTTTCCTCTGAACGGTGCCAATGCCCACACTTTCTAAAGGATTTCAGGTCACCAGGAGGAAAATGAGTAGAAACAAAAAAATTATCAGAACTATGTATTCTGATTATGATTCTAAAACCAGAATTCCAAAACGGTTAAAACTGAGAAATGAAACATTCACTACATGGGCAAGTTGCATAACAAAAAAGCAACTTCAATGTAGGACATTCCTTTTTCCTCCCTGGTTGGGTATCTGAATGCAAGCCAAAACACAAACAAACGCTCCAAGTTATATCTAGCCTGTTGCCTCAGCTTAAGACCAACACATGTGAAACTTACAATTTTTCAGCTTCCAGACATAACAACTTAAGGGCTGTGAGTAGCCTCCAAGATGGTCCATCCCATCCGAATGTCAAATTTCTGAAGCAGAAAAACAAATAATGACAAATCCGTCATTTCAGTATTTCATGACCTCACAGCAAATGACTGAAGAGTCCAACACATTTTTAAAGGGGTTGCTAAATGTCATGTAACCTGCAATCTTGGTCAAAGGACAGGAGAAAATCAGTGTGCAAATACTTAAAAAGAAAGCCTAAGTAACAGAAAATTCTCTCCCCATTTTTTTTTAAAGAGTAAACAGCTCTTTTCCAATAATTTTAGTAAGAAGCTTGAACATGGATGAGGGGCCTGAGGCAGGGCCCATGAGCAGGAGTTCCCAGTAAGAGAAACGCTTAAGAACTGGAACTACCCAGGCATCCCACAGATGGCAGCCACCACTGCCAGGCTGCTCTCACACTATGGCGGGATCATTTCAAACTTAATTTCATCCAGAAAAGAAAATCCAAAAGGGAGAGCCTTGAACCCCGTTTAGCCACTTGGCATGGAATCACTTAGCTACCCACCTACCCCAAGAGCCTGCACCATGGTGCCAGGTGCCTGGGCTCTCCTGAGGGCCAGCCTGGCCTTTCCACATGACCACAGGGTAGACAGACTCATCCTGGGCCACCCATCAATACATCCAAGCTCTCTTTTGGTACCGTAATTTAATATTTCTAGCTTGTACCTTATGTCCCTAAAGAAGTTTCTTTCAAGTGTCTTCTACTCCTTATGTCCTCCACAACATCAAGCACAGTTTTACTGCACACAGTAAGTGCTCAATACCTACCCGTCAGCTGACACAGGGTCAAGAGGTGTCTCACCCCCATGGAAAATTTAACCCCAGGTTTTCCATGAACATTTCCTAAAGGAATAATTCTAAGAGGGAAAGAGAAACACTTACTCTATATAGCCATGATCCTTTAGAATAGAAATCTTTTTGTCCATCTGTTTATCTCTTGATGGAAGATATTTAACAAGTATTTCTATATTTAAAAAAAAAATCCGACTGTTAGGGCATACATTTGGACGAAAGTATGTCTTCCTTTCCTTTTCAACTCACCTCCTTTCCCCTTAGCAACCCAGACATGCACAAACAGTTCCACCTAATTCACAAGGAAGTCTACTCTTCAAGTCCAATTTAGTCACATCAGTACTGAGTCCCTGAAAGGCCATCAGAATTCCAAGGCTGGAGGACTAAACACGCATAACCTCAGCTCATGCTCCCACTAAGTAAATCCACCAAAAACAAGCAGGTCATTAGGACATCAGCATGACTGTTGGAAAATTACAGTCAACAAAAGTAGAGGCCCTGCAAAAACATGAGGAAAGGTTTACAATACTGAGCTTTTTCCAAACCAGAATTCAAAGTAGTCTGGATATTAGTAACTGCAACTACAAAAAACTTAAAAACTAACTACAAAGCACAAACTAACAAAGCTATTTGGAGAAGCAAGGTAATGAGAGATTTTTCTATTTTACTTTTAAAATGTAAATATAACTAAAATATAATTTTTGCTCAAATTAATTTATTCAACAAATGAATACTTCATGGACATCAATATTAAATTTATCAGGATTTTGAAAACATGAAGCCAATCTCAAAGCTGGTTTTCTAGCAGCAAGACCCAGTTTTTGCTTTTCTATTTTTATTTTGAGAAATCACATTATTATTCTGCCTTATAAGATGGAGTAGTAACAGCCTGGCCAAGTTTCTATTTCCAATCAAATCTATATTAAAAATGCATCAAATTATGTATTTAATAAATCTCTTGCCATTTTTTCATGGCCTAGAAAACTGCTTCTCTACTGTTTCACAAAGGGAAAAATCAGTCTTGTATGTACTTTTTTAACACTATATTTGGAATTTTCACATTTTAAGTGTAATGGCTAACTTACTATTTTAAAATAATAAAACTGGGCCAAGTACGGTGGCTCCCGCCTATAATACCAACACTTTGGGAGGCTGAGGCAGGAGGATCTCTTGAGCCCAGGACTTGAAGACAGCCTGGGCAACATAACAAGTTTGTCTCTATCATATGAAAAAACAAAAATTAAAAATAATAATAATAAAACCAGGCCAGGTGCAGTGGCTTACTCCTATGATCCTAGCACTTTGGGAGGCTGAGACAGGTAGATCACTTGAGGCTAGGAGTTCAAGACCAGCCTAACCAACATGGCAAAACCCCATCTCTACTAAAATTACAAAAAGTAGCCAGGCGTGGTAGCGCATGCCTGTAATCCCAACTACTCCAGAGGCTAGGGCACAAGAATCGCCTGAACCTGGGAGGTGGAGGTTGCAACAAGCAAAGATCACGCCACTGCACTCCAGCCTGAGCAACAGAGTGCGACTCTGACTCAAAAATAAAACCAATGATAAAACCAAAAATAATAAAACCAAAAACAAAAGAACATAGATGAAATCAAATGTCATCATGGCATCAACCTCCAGAAACAAGGACTATAGATTTATCTCTGTGATTAGCACAGTGTCTTACACACAGTAGGTGCTTAATAAATATTTTTTATTCATTGCTCTCTAATTCTATTGTTTTTAGTGCCAGTGACAACATCTCAGTATAAACATTTCCATCCTTTAATACTGTATTTATTTCCTTAGCAGTTTTCCTCTTCTTCTATTCTATATTTTGACCCAATGCAATGAAAACTTCTTAATTCTTCTTATCCTAAATATCAGTCAGAGCTTTGTTGTTTTTACTTCAACACTGAAATTACAGTCAGTAAGAGTAAGGCTAGGCCTACCTAGAAGAAAATTAGTGATGTGTATGTCAGTCTTACGGTTTTGATATTTTTATTAAAACTGAAAATACACATCTCCAACTGGGAAAAAAAATTATACAGTGTTTATGTTAAGAACAAAGTTGATTCCCACCTCTTGAGACATAAACACAAGCATGAGGATTATGGACGGAAACAAATCCATATTCCAGGAACAGCCGCTGATTATCGTGAGGGCCGTAACAGATGAATACCTCTTCATGCTTTCTCCAACGTGAAGTCGTTCTAATTTCGTAAGAGTGAGTTTCTTCATTAAATGCTGCTTTTACCTAGAAAGAAAAACTGTTAAAGGTTTTTTTTAAAGTAAGGTGTAAAACTACAAAACTGATTAAGTTATTATGTAATATTAATGTGAGTCAGGTGCAGCTTTCAAACACTCATCAATAAATGTAACTACGCTTAGGGAACATGCCACTTCCGGTTTCATCCACCTCGACTTCACCCTGTTGATGAGGGAGGGAGTCCTGCCCTAGGGTGCTGGGGATGGCCACACCACATCACCTGACACAGCACAGATGAGATCATCAGCAGTTTATTGGTCATGTCCACTCATAGCCCAGGGAAGGAGGACATGGTGGTGCCAATAAACTTTATCTGTAAAAAGCTAGAGAGTAAACATGTTCAGCTTTGCCAGCCCTATGTGGTCTCTGTCACAAGTTGTATTTTTACAATCCTTTCAAAGTGTAAAAACCACTCTTAGCTCAGGGCTTTCGGGCCACATGCCCACAGGCTGTAGTTTGTGGTGTGGTCTTCCTACAGTAGACTATAAAATCATTGGTTTGGCACATAAATGCACCAAAAGTCCCAATAAAAATAAATCACTGCACTGGGGACAGACGGAGTTCCCATGTCTAGCATCCCATCACACTACACACCCCTGATATTATTTCATCAACATCAACCACAGAAACACTCATCTAATCCCAGGCTCCTTTGCTCCTGATTGTTAAAGATACTTCTTTCTACAAAAGTAACAAGCAGACAGCCCTTGTTCCTGGGCTAAAAAAGCAGATCGGGAACCTCCCTAAGCTCTGATCTCATGTGGAGAGCACATGAGCTTAGCACGTGGGCTCACAAGGCATGACTGCTCTTCTCACAGTGGAATGTCATGTAAAGGTGACAGCCAGGACACGGATCCCAGCCATGTCCCTCCACAACACACCCCAAAAGCGTTACAGGTGAGTCGACTGATGGACATTCTCCTGCTCTCCAAGCCAGGCCTCTACCCCTGCATGCCCTGCAAATAACACTCGTTTCCCAAATGAGCCACCTGGGGAAAAGGCTCGGGAGGATGCGATCTGTGACCACCTCCCAAATCAGGTTTCTTTCATCATTTCCCAGAACCCTTTCCCCACAAATACCCATCCATTCAATAAACATTTACTGAACACCTACTATGTGCCAGGCCCTGCCATGAGCACTGAGGTGACAAAGAGGAACAAGACAAAGACCCCATTCTCAAAGATTTCAGAGCTCAGTGGGAAAAAGATCAAGTCAGTCAGTGATCAGAGCAAAGAGAAATGCTGTGACAGCTATAACACCAAGTTTAAAAGCGACAGAGCAGGAAAGCAGGCTGGGCTTCAGTCCTGGTCTGGGAGGAGGAACGAGGGAGAAGGAAGGAGGGGTCTGCACCACAGGCTGCTGGAAAAGACCGGACAGGGGATGCAACACGAGGTTCTGTAGGCCTGAAGAGCAAAGTGGAGAAAATGGGCAGAGGCAAGCACTGCAAGAGGGACAGTGGGGTCTGGAAGAACAACAGGAGCCTCCTGACAGCAGGCCATCCCAACAGGGTCACCTGAAGCTGCTGACGTCTCTCCCTGTGGTGTCACTCACCATCTACAGTCACAGATTCTGGGCAGTGGAAGCCTTCCTATCCAAATAGAATAGCTGCTTCCTTGTCAGCGTCTCACCTGGACACGTGGGCTATGATTCAGCAGGTCCAGGTATGGAGCGAGCGCACAGGTGTCCGGCTCTGCAGAAAGGCATTCCCGCCGCCTGGGCCTCAGGTACACGGCTCTGGTGTTGACGGTGCACCAAGCCCACAGCAGGGCACTGTAGCTGAAGATGCTGTCAACAGCCTCCACAAACAGAGGCTGCAGAGAAGAGAAAAAGTCTCTGGAGGAAGCAAAGAACTCCTGCACATGGGCTCTCTGCTCTTCAGCCTTTGCTTTTAAAGATTTGGGAAGAAGGTTCACCACTTCCGGCTCCAAACAAACAGGGCAGGTATAGGCCTTGGGTAAAATCTCCAGGTAAGGCTTCCAAAGAGATCGGTCCCCAGCATGCTTTTCTGAAACTAAAAAGGTACACAGCGCCAGCAGAGGAGACGGAGGCGGCTTCCACCTTTGAAAATTAAAAGCCGGTTTAAAGGAATTACTTTGATTCAAAATATGAAATAAGCCAAGCAGTTTGTTTTGCTGCCAGAGGGAGTGTGTTCAAACTATCAACACGCTCAGTTTACTTAACAGACTCAAAAGAGTTCCTTCCTTCCTTCCTTCCTTAAGGCCCTTCCTCTCCGGGGGAGCACAGCCCCAGTGCCAGTGCTCTGAAAGAGCCATACTTACATGTCAGAAAAACTGACGCACTAGGCCAAGTTCCAGGTTTGTTTGCAAGAGATTCCTCGTTGCAAAAAAACCTCTTTGCTTCCAACTTGGTTCTCCAGTTACAAAGCTTTTGATCTAACTCCATTTGTCTCAGCTAAATAAAGATACAAAATATGGTGGGGAAAAAATGGTGGAAAGAACTGAGACCTGCACCATCCGATATAGCAATCACTGGGTACGCAGAGCTATTTAAATTTAACCGTTAATTATTTAGAATTAAATAATATTTAAAATTCAATCCCTCAGTGAGATAAGCTATGTTTTAAGTGCGCAATAGCCATTCAGAGCTAATGGCCACTATACCGGACAATGCAGAAAAAACATCTGTCATTGCTGAAAGCTCTGTTGGAGGACACCAACCTTAACCAAAATGGAATATGCTCATATACACTTGTGCAGTTCTAACGCTTTTATTCCTAAGTTTACTTGCTCTATTACAAATTATGTATCACAGTATTTTTATTTGTTTTGCACAATTGCCAATAAAAAGATCTCATGTTGCCTGAAGATATTTAGAAAAAGTTTTCATCGATCCTTCAAGGTCCAGATTCCTATACTGCCATACATTCTACTCAAAATTTCAGAATGATTCAGGAAATGTTTATAATGACAGCAACCTTGCCTCTACACAGGCCTAAAAGACCTATTCACCTTCTTCCAAAAACATGCCGGGGGAAGAAAGTCCAGAACTTACCTAACGGTTCAGAAACAGCATATGCCAGGCACAGTGGCCCTTTGCCTATATCCCAGCACTTTGGGAGGCCGAGGTGGGTGAATCACTCGAGGCCAGGAGTTTGAGACCAGCCTGGTCAACATGGTGAAACCCCATCTTTAATAAAAATGCAAAAATTAGGCATGGTGGAGCATGCCTGTAATCCCAGCTATTTGGGAAGCTGAGGCATGAGAATTGCTTAAACCCAGAAGGTAGAGGTTGCAGGGAGCTAAGATCGCCACTGCACTCCAGCCTAGGCAACACAGCAAGACCCTGTCTCAAAAAAAAAAAAAAGAAAAGAAAAGAAAAGAAAGAAAGAAACGGTATACTCTTTCAACCCTCGTAATTTAGAAATCCCTTCCACTGCGGGTCTCTCACTCTGTCTTCAGAGATGCCCCAAAACAAAGGCCCAGCAGAACGTGTGCCAGAAAACAGTTCTCCCACATCAGCCTCCTCTCTTCTATACCCAAATAAAACTACTTCTTTCATATTGTCAACAGCTCTTCAAAGTTCAAGAAAAACTGAAGTACAATAAGGGTAGAAATAAGAGAGAGTAACTTACATTTGTCAAGAGCTACTATGATGGAAGAGAACAGGCTACTAAGAGCCAAAGCACTCTGCTGTGATTTACATATATTATCCCATTTCATTTTTATTTCTTAGTAAGTGATAGATGGGGGTGTCACACCCACACTCCAGGAAGCCTATTAAAAACCTTAAAAATGCCATTTATAGTGAATTAAGAACAAACTTTCCGGCTGGGCACGGTGGCTCACACCTGTAATCCCAGCACTTTGGGAGGCCGAGGCGGGAGGATCACGAGGTCAGGAGTTCAAGACCAGCCTGGCCAAGATGGTGAAACCCTAACTCTACTAAAACTACAAAAAAAAAAAAATTAGCCAGGCATGGTGGCGGGCCCCTGTAATCCCAGCTACTTGGGAGGTTGAGGCAGGAGAATCGCTTGAACCCAGGAGGCAGTGGTTGCAATGAGCCAAGATCACACCACTGCACTCTAGCCTGGGCAACAGGTGAGACTCCGTCTCAAGACAGACAGACAGACAGACAGACAGAGAAAAGGAAGAAAGGAAAGGAAAGGAAAGGGAAAGGGAAAGGATGGGGGTGTCACACCCAATAATCTGTGTAGCTCATTAAAACCTTAAAAACGCTATCATAGTGAATTAAGAACAACCCTCCGGCTGGGCAACGCGTCACACCAACCAACAAGAAACAAACACCAACCCAAACACCAAACAAGAATATAGAGAGAATAATGCCAACAGGCCCCAACAAAAAACAAAAAGAACCTCGATTAGAGACAGACATGGAGAAAAAGAAATAATGGAAAGTGAGTGCTATGGAGTATGATGGTTAAAGAATAATATATGGCGCTATGGCAGCTAATGAGAGAGATATAGAGGGATAGTATAAACAATAGTAATTAACAACAGAAGCCTGGAAGAAATAACCACCTCCAAAGGACCTGGGGTATTATCTGAACTATGTCCAACATTGGGCACATCCTCACCAAATCTATAGACTTGTAAGACAGCAATGGCACTCAAAGTGTGGGAAAAGGAAAGGGAAAGGGAAAGGGAAAGGGAAAGGGAAAGGGAAGGAAAGGAAAGGAAAGGAAAGGAAAGGAAGGGAGAGAGAGAGGGAGGGGGGAGGGAGGGAGGAGGGGAGGGGAGGGGAGGGGAGGGGGAGGAAGGGAAGGGAAGAGGGAGGACAAACTTTCTAGAACAGAGTAAACTTTTCACATCATTTCAGGTATTTATCTGCTCTAAAAGGGACTGGGTATTAATGAATTATGTCTCAAGAGACATATTCGCCAATGACAGACTTTAAGGAGAAGCACTTGCACCAGGTAAGCATGTGTGTGGTCACTTACTTAGTAATGTATGCCCCTAAGTAGCTTCGAATCACTGTGTCCGTGGTGAGCAGGCAACTCTCAGGCAACGAAATAATCATCTGTCCCTCCTGGCCAAAAGGAAAGCAAAGTTGAGGATGCCTATGCTTTGGGAAGAACCCAGGAGTATGAGTCTGAAAAAGTCTTTGATCCCACAGTCACCTACCAAGAACCCACTATAACTCAACCAAAAGCCACCAATGGAGTCGCTCCCAACTCTGCGAGTCAGCAGATGCACATAACGCTGCTCCAATGCCAGGTCCCACAACCCCAACAAAAATGAAAGCGTTGACAGGCAGTCAACCCTTCACCAGAATAAGTGGTGGAAACATGTTGACAATTCAAATTATACTGTTTCTTCTTTTTTTTTTTTTTTTTTTTTTTCCGTGAGATGGAGTTTTGCTCTTGTCTCCCAGGCTAGTATGCAATGGCGCGATCTCAGCTCACTGCAACCTCCACCTCCCAGGTTCAAGCGATTCTCCTGCCTCAGCCTCCTGAGCAGCTGGGACTACAGGTGCCTGCCATCATGCCCAGCTAATTTTTGTATTTTTAGTACAGACAGGGTTTCACCTGTTTCTTCACTTTCTTATGCCAGGAAATAGTGCTACCAATAGCAAACAAACAGAAACTGTGGGGAAAAGAAAGAGATCAGACTGTTACTGTGTCTATGTAGAAAAAGGAAGACATAAGAAACTCCATTTTGATCTGTACAAAGAAAAATCATTCTGCTTTGAGATGCTGTTAATCTGTAACTTTAGGCCCAACCCTGTGGGTTTAAGGGATTTAAGGCTGTGCAGGATGTGCCTTGTTAACAATATGTTTGCAGACAGTATGCTTGGTAAAAGTCATCGCCATTCTCCATTCTCTATTAACCAGGGGCACGATGCACTGCAGAAAGCCGCAGGGACCTCTGCCCAAGAAAGTCTGGGTATTGTCCAAGGCTTCCACCCACTGAGACAGCCTGACATATGGCCTCGTGGGAAGGAAAAGACCTTATCATGCCCCAGCCCAACACCTGTAAAGGGTCTGTGCTAAGAAGAATTAGTAGAAGAGGAAGGCCTCTTTCCTGCATGTCCCTGGGAACAGAATGTCTCAGTGTAAATCCAACTATTCGTTCTATTCTGAGATAGGAGAAAACCACCCTGTGGCTGGAGGCGAGATATGCTGGCAGCAATACTACTCTGTTACTCTTTCCTATACTGAGATGCTTGGGTAAAGAGAAACAAATCTAGCCTATGTACACATCCGGACACAGTACCTTCCCTTCAACTTATTTATGATGCAGATTCCTTTACTCACATGTTTGCCTGCTGATCTTCTCCCCACCATCACCCTGTTCACCTTGTTCTCCTGCCCCACTCCCCTTGCCGAGACAGTGAAAATAGTCATCAATAAACACTGAGGAAACTCGGAGACCAGTGCTGGTGCAGGTCCTCGCATGCTGAGTGTGCCGGTCCCCTGGGCCCACTGTTCTTTCTCTATACTTTGTCTCTGTGTCTTATTTCTTTTCTCAGTCTCTCATCCCTCCTGATGAGAAATACCCACAGGTGTAGAGGGGCAGCCCCCTTCAGAAACTATCCCAAAAAATTGTATTCAGTGAAATCCAAGTGGCTAGGCGATGGTCTGCTCTCTACATAACCCACGCCTAGAAGCTAAAGAAAGGCCAGCATGCCCAACATAGTAAAGGATCGAATTCTACCACTTGCAAGGGCATCGTTCTTGGTGTCTCCCACTGAGATAGAACCATAGAAGAAAAATTCGATGTAAAGTAATAGAAAACAGTTTAAATAAACACAACATGATGAAGCCAGATGTGAGATTCTCCTTTAATTCTAACTGGCATCTAAGTTGGTTAAAAATCTCAGCCAAGGCCAGGCATGGTGGCTCACGCCTGTAATCCCAGCACTTTGGGAGGCTTAGGCGGGTGGATTGTTTGAGGCCAGGAGTTCAAGACCAGCCTGACTAACATGATGAACCCCTATCTCCACTAAAAGTACAAAAATTAGCCGACCATGGTGGCGGGCGCCTGTAATCCCAGCTACTCCGGAGGCTGAGGCAGGAGAATCAGTTGAACTCAGGAGGCAGAGATGGCAGTGAGCGGAGATTGCGCCACTGCACTCTGGCCTGGGTGACAGAGCGTGACTCCTTCTCAAAAAAGAAAGAAAAAAAAAAATCTTAGCCAAAAAATCTTCCGGGATCAATTTCTGGTTTCCTCATCTGTAAAGCAAGATTAAGCTGGATGATCACCATGGTCACTTCCCATTCCAACATCCTATCATCTTATGATTAGAAAGATATTTGGGTAAATCTCTTTATCATCAAAATGCAAACTGTACACTTCGCTGTGCATTTCACTATATGTAAAATATGTCTCAAATTTCAAAAACTTTTGATAAAACAACCACATTTGAATGTACATGTGAAACAACGGCCAATTATTTCATGACCTAAACAAAAACCAGCTGTAGTTACTGCTGCATACATGACATTTCTCATCCCCAAATTCTCCTACAGAATAAAGTCAATTACACTTTTCTCCAAAAATAAAAAAATTGCACAACAGTATGAAAGTACTTAATACTACTGAACTTCAAAATGGTTAAGATGTTAAGCTTTATGTTACATATATTTTACCACAATTAAAAAATTTTAAATGACGAAAACATTAACACAGCATAATAGAATTACAACACCAAAACATACCATTCTTTATATATTGGACTTCTTGTGTTTGTGATTTTCACCTGTTTAGGAAACATAACCTGAATTCCCTGGCTGACTATGCTTGCATTTTAAAGAAATTATATTTTCCTTTAATATTTTAAAAACTTATCTTTTTAGCACAACATTTTTAACAATTAAAATTACTTTTGGACCAGGCACAGTGGCTCATGCTTGTAATCCCAACACTTTGGGACGCCGAGGCGGGCAGATCCTCAGGTCAGGAGTTCAAGACCAGCCTGGCCAATATGGTGAAACCCTGTCTCTACTAAAAATACAAAAAAATTAGCTAGGCTTGATGGCACACGCCTGTAATCTCAGCTATTCAGGAGGCTGAGGCAAGAGAATTGCTTGAACCCAGGAGACAGAGGTTGCAGGGAGCCAAGGTCATGCCACTGTACTCCAGCCTGGGCGACAGAGCAAGACTCTGTCTCAAAAAAAAAAAAAAATTACTTTTTATCTACTAACAACAACAAAAAAAGATACCATTCCTTAGACTAAACGTATGTACACATCTGAGTATGAGTTTTAAATAAAGAATTTTTTAAAAGACAATTTTTAAATAAAGGAAGAAATTAATTTCTAGCTTTACAGAAAATCGTGCATTAGAGATCTTTAAAACAGGATCAGAAGAACGAAAAGAAACCTTGGAGGTCATCATTTACTTCCTTATTTTGTAGAGGAGGAAACAGAAGCCAAGAGTATGAGGGGTCTCGGGTTGGGGCCCCCAGGCAGCTGAAGGCAACTCTGGCCCAAGCCCGAGGCCTCATCCTCCCTTAGCTCTGGTTTCTACCTGCTGCAACACGACTGCCTCAAAAACAGCAGCAGCTGCCTCAGCACACTTTAAACGTGATCTGACATGTAACATGTTGTGGCAGAGATTGCTAGTTGCCTATCCCAACACGCCTTCTCACCCCGTCCTCACTAACAGAATCCTACTTAGAGGGCACGTGGCTAGGGAAAGGCCAGCACGGCTCTCCTCCCTTGCAGCTGGCTAAGGCGATGTACCTGATCACTGCTCAAGGACAGAGGGACTGGAATTTCCTTAAAGGGAGGAAGCTTGCCCTTCCTCACCCCCTTGCTCTCTCCTGCTGCCCAAGTTCCAAGACCTGCACCCTGACCTGAGGGTACAGTTCCCTTAAGGACATGAGAGAGCTGGAAGGAGCTGGGGCCTCCACGGACCATGGGACTGCCCCACCAGCTCGGGTCAGCCTACTCCAAGCTTGTTTCTATGAGTGAGAACAAAATAAATTTCCATGCTGCTTAAGCACCTCAACTTTGGGCTTGTCCTTCATTGCAACAAACTTAATCCTAGTTGATAGAATCATATTCAAACATATCTATTATGTAAGTAAGAAATGACTGTATGTCTGAAATTTTTTTAATCCACTTTGTTTGAACCACGAAAACAAAGCAGCAAAATCTACGCTGGGTTTCAAGGATCAAAGGAAAGTTCTCACCTGCAGGGATGTTTGGCTCATCAGCCCTCTTCCTGTACCTAGGAAAGCAAAGACACAAAGAGTAAATCCTACTACACCTTCGAGGCCCTAGAGATATCATTATAAAAAAAAAAAATGTGAACTTCAAAATTACACAAGGCTGAAGCTGGATGTCTCTCAGTCTTTGATTCCAAGGAGAAACAGGGAGTCAGAAAGCTATTCCAGAAAATGTCTTGACCTCCAGTGAGTTATGATCCTTGAAGGGCAAAATCAGCTTCAGAGGTGAGACCTAAAGACCACCGTGGACTTGATACAGACCTACTCCTGGCCTCTTGCAGGAAGCTTTGGCTGGACTCTCTCCCCTGGGGCCTACTGGCCAATAAGGTGCTATTCCCAATGCCCAGCCAACCTCTGAGGCTAGAGCCCCAGGCCACTTATCCCCATTACCAGACTCAGCTCTCCGGAGTAAAGACCTTGAGACCCCTTTGATTGGCCGGCTGGCCAGTAAACCCCATTTAAGTCCCCATAAAGCCTGCAGACATCCTCCCCTCTCTGATCAGGTAACCCATGAGATGGGCTCTCCATGACCTGGTGAGCTCAGCTGGGTAGGTCAGCTCCAGCGGGTGCCTGTGAGCCAAGGCTCCAGCTGGAGCACAGTCACCACAGTAACCTCAGCAGCTGCATTAATACCCCACCAACTTCCAGAAGTTTCTCCCTCCATGCCTAAGCTTCTGCTCCTGGAGCAGTCAGACGAACATTGAAAGGATGCTCAATGGCCGGGCGCGGTGGCTCACGCCTGTAATCCCAGCACTTTGGGAGGCCAAGGCGGGTGGATCATGAGGTCAGGAGATCGAGACCATCCTGGCTAACATGGTGAAACCCCGTCTCTACTAAAAATACAAAAAATTAGCCGGGCGTGGTGGCGGGCGCCTGTAGTCCCAGCTACTCGGAGGCTGAGGCAGGAGAATGGCGTGAACCCGGGAGGCAGAGCTTGCAGTGAGCCGAGATGGCGCCACCGCACTCCAGCCTGGGCGACAAAGCGAGACTCCATCTCAAACAAAAAAAAAAAAGGATGCTCAGATGACAGCTTTTCTGGCCGGCATAGGTATTACATGATCATAAGAGGCCTAGAGCATTAACGTCTCCAATTCATCATTCCTCACCTTTCCTCTCTTAGCTGGGAGGGAAAATAATTCAGCCAAGTCAATGCAGGACTACTGGGAGCTCCTGGCTCACAGTGGGAACTCCTGCCTCAAGTCTTCATCAGTTTCCCGCAACTTGGATTTGATGCTCCTGGTTCATGGTGGGAATTCCTGCCTCAAGTCTTCCATCAGTTTCCTGGCAGGTTGGATCTGATGCTCCCGGTTCATGGTGGCAATTGCTGCCTCAAGTCCTCTACGGGTTTCCCAGCAGGTTGGATTTGATGAGTCCCAATTTGTCTCCCCTCCCAGGAGGATACTGTCTGCTCACACAGCTAGTTCTAGTGTTGATAGCGTATTTCGTTGATTTTGTGTACCGCATTGTGGAGTTAATCATCCCTGTGTGCCAGAACTCCTCCTAGAATCAACTACTAATGGGAAGATTTTCTTCTACGTGGTTATCCTTCCAAAACCTTACGTGCTAATCTAAGTGGAAATTCTCTCCAAACATATATGTGAACAAAAGCTGGTCTATGGAATATATCTAGAAGAGCCTTTACCTATATTTACATGATAGTGTTTAATATCAAAAAAACATATAGTAATCTACACTTACTTTCATTTTCATATTGGATATATTAGGCAAAGCAGAAGTGGCCATTAGGAGTTCGTAAGAGTAAAGCTTATTACAAATGTCTCAAAGCCTCAAAATTTCCACTATCATCAATCTACACAGGAGGCCCTGACCTGGCTAGCGCTTTTGGTGGTGAAAGGAAATGCTGGGGTCAGTTCCTAAGGCAGAAAAGAAGAGAGAGTCTAAAGATGGAATCCTGCTTAGGAGATTTCCTATGCCCCTCCACAAACTAAGATGAATTCCCCAGAGTTCATACATTTTGACTGAAGCCCAAAAATGTTACCTCCTATCATACACTGATTAAGAGCTAAAAACTATATGAAGCAAGGGACAAGTTCCTCGTCCCCAGAACTGTAAGCACGAGGCTCAGGTCACTGCCAAGCCACTGTGCTTTTGCACCTGCATCGCCTGAAATCTGGGGCTGGGGCCAGGGCACGTTGTTCTCACTTTTAAAAATAGGAACTCTTTACTGCTCCAAATTACAAACAGATGACCTATTCTCAGGTATTCCATCTAAACCATCTGCTGATTCCTGTTTGATGATTTTAAACCCATCCTTCTTAGGGCAAATGACACCTGAGATGTGGGCAGGCCTTAGACATGGCAAGTCTACCGCTGACACTACTGACTCTCTTGATCATCTGGGGAAGAACTCTGTTCAGTATAATCTAAGAGTGTGGCTTTTACTGACCATCTTTGACACACAAAAACAGAAACTCAAGCATTATGTTAGAGGCTGACAATATGGTTCATGACCATCAATTAGAAGGGGCCCTAATAGAAAATGGCTCAAATCAAGCATTTTCGTTCAAAGTCATGATGTGTAACTGACTCATGGAAAACAACTTTACACACATCACCTCACTCAGCAAGGGGCACAAGTGGGAAATCATTTGCCTTGGCGCAGGGTATATGAGGAAGTTAATTTGCTCAAAGTTCAATTACCTAACGGGTACTTGAGTAGTAATTCTAATGGACAATGGGAACATTGTGTGGTACATGCCTTAACTTTTCTGTAAGGTGCAGCCTGCCCTGTGATGTAGAACTTTGCGGCCCTAATTGCACCACTATCTCTGTGCTGCAGCAGACTCCAAATCCTTGTAAAAAGCATCTTGGTCCTCCCTGTGGTTATCTCCTGCCCACTTGTGGGAAGAGTGGAGTGGCCATGTATGCAGGCACACACCCAGAGCAAGCTGCCCAACTTCTGTGAGAGAATGTTCCAGAAGAAAGTGGTTTTTGGTTTTTGCTAGTTTTTTGAGACAAGGTCTCACTCTATCGCCCAAGCTGGAGTGCAGGGGCATGATCATGGCTCTCTGCAGCCTCAACCTCCTGGGCTCAAGCGATCCTCCCACCTAAGCCTCTAGAGTAGCTGGGACTACAGGGCACACCACCGTGCCTGGCTACCTTTTGGACTTTTAGTAGAGACAGGATTTCGTCATTTTGGCCAGGCTGGTCTCAAACTCCCGAGCTCAAGTGATCTGCCTGCCTCAGCCTCCCAAAGTGCTGGGATTACAGACATGAGCCACTGCGCCTGGCAAAATGTTAACCTAACCTCCCTAATAAGCACAAGTTTCAGAAGAGAATGTCAATCTACCTCAGCTCAGTACTGAAGCCCACAGCTCTGCAATTAACTGGCCACACACAGGGGGCTCCTCCTCCAACCCAAGGGGAGCACATACAAACCAGTTGAGGGACAATATCTGCTGAGGCCCACTTGCAAGAGTGGCCCCCACTGTCTACCTGGCTCTCGCGTGGGAAAGGGTAGGACAGCTGAAGGCTAGATCTTACCTGGAAAACAGGCAGGCGCTAAGTTTGAATCTTGAAACTTCCTAGCTTTCAGCCACTTCCTTAGCTCTATAAATTCAGACTTGTGGCTCTCATTCACTATCAGGCAAGGAGAGAACAAATGGTGATTAAAACCACTATATAATCAGATTACCATTTTTAAAAGAACATGTCTGATGAAATGTGTCAGACAGAGTTGCACAATAGTAAGAACTGGTGTATCTAAACATAGAAAAGGTACAATAAAAACACAGTATTGGCCAGGCGCAGTGGCTCACATCTGTATTCCCAGCATTTGGGAGACCAAGGCGGGAGGGTTGCTTGAGGCCAGGAGTTTGAGACCAGCCTGGCCAACATAGAAAGACCCCACCTCTTAAGAAAAAAAAAAAAAATACAGTATTGTAATCTAATAGGACCACCACTGTACATGTGATCCATCAACCAAAACATCCTTATGCAACATATGACTATATTCATTCAATGTCATCCTAATCAAAATTCAAGCAGGCTTTCGTACACAATTAACAAGCTGATCCCAAAACTCATATGGAAATGCAAAAAGCCTAGAATAGCCACGATGTCTTTGAAAGATTGATTTTAAAACTTATTCTAAAGCTACAGTAATCAAGTTACTGTGATATTGTCAAGACAGACAAATAGGTCAATGGAACAGGACAGAAAATTGGAAGAGGCCCACATGTAAATGAACAACGGATTTCTGACAAAGTGTGAAGGCAAATCAGTGGGAAAAGGTAGTCTTTTCAATAAATGATGATCCAACAACTGGATCTCCATAAGAGAAAAAAAAAAGTGAACTTATCCATATCTTGTACCATATTCAGTTGGATTTACATACGACTTTCCAGATGGCCACTTTTGTATTGAACAAGATACAGTATCTTCTTCAGACAGGGTTACCTCGAATTTGAAGTGATAAATTTACATCCAAACACTGATATCCTACAGGTGGCTGAAGGTCAAGACCAGAAAAAGAAACTTGGGAGTCACCCCCAGAGAAGACAGTTGAAACAATGAGTTAGCTATCTTCACATTCCCACCAGGATCTAAAAGAATACAATGGCACCATTAAAGAGAGTGTTATTTAAGAAATATTCTTTTTGGGTTGGGCACAGTGATTCATGCCTGTAATCCCAGTGCTTTGGGAGGCCGAGGCAGAAGGACCACTTGAGCCCAGGAGTTCAAGACTGGCCTGGGCAACATAGTGAGACCCTGTTGCAAAAACAAATTTAAAAAAACATTAGCCGGATGGAGTGGCATGTACCTGTAGTCCGAGGTACTTGGGAGGCTGAGGCAGGAGGGAGGCTAAGGCAGGAGATCACTTGAGCCTGGCAGTTCAAGGCTGTAGAGAGCCATGATCACGCCACTGCACTCCAATCTGGGTAACAGAGGTAAATAAATAAATGCCTGGTTTGGGAACAAAATCATAGCATGGGTCATTCCATTCCTGGGCCCTCTTCTAATAATATGCCTGGGACTGATGTTCTTACCCTGCCTAATTAACCTTTTTCAAAGATTTTTAACTGACAGGATCATGGCCATTTCACAAACAACTACCCAAAAACATCTATAGACGGCATTGCTCCTACGGTCAACCCAAGACCAGAAAACTCTCTGTACCCTCATCAGCAGGAAGTAGCCAGAAAGAAAATGCTGAGAGAGAGAGAGAGAGAGAGAGAGAGAGAGAAAGACAGAAAGACAGAAAGACAGAAAGACAGACAGACAGAAAGAAAGAAAGAAAGAAAGAAAGAAAGAAAGAAAGAAAGAAAGAGAAGTAGCTAGAAAGAAAATGCTTGAGAGAGAGAGAGAGAGAGAGAGAAAGTATGCCAGAAAGAAAGAAAGAAAGAAAGAAAGCAGGCAGGGAAGAGGGCAGTGCTTACATATGAAATGTGCTAAGTAATCATAAAGGATTTTTCTATCACTGTTACGCAAATAAATTACTTGGTTCAGGAATTGTAAGTTTTGCTTTGATCTAAGTGAGTTTTTTTTTTTGTATATGAATTAGAGTTTTAGCTATACTTGAGTGGTGGAGGGGTTTGATTGGAAGGCGATCAGCAGGCGATTTGAGGGCGAGCAGGTGGAGATCATTGTTTCTTTCTGAATTCTCACAGAAAGAAAGAAAGAAAGAAAGAAAGAAAGAAAGAAAGAAAGAAAGAAAAGCTACATATGAACAAACAAGCAATCACAAAAGGATTTCTTTTTCCATCACTGTCACTAAAACAAAAACTGTACCTCCTCTTGGTTCAGAACTTCTGCAAAGTTTTCGTCTTCTGATCCGGCTTGTTCTCCCTTTTCCTTTCTGCATGCTAAAACTGTAGTTTCTTCTTTCTGAAACACAATTCTATTTTTTCAAAAAGGACAAAACTGTAATTTCTGTGGAAATGCTCAATCTAAAATAAAAAACATTTCTTTTACTTTCCAGTTATATGATAATCACTGTTCTTTGTACCTTTAAGTATACAAATGTATATTTTGGTAAACTGTTTCTCTCAAGTGTTTTTGTAAATGAAAGGTTTATACTGTAAGCTAAATCATGATCCCTACAGTTACAGAATTCCCATTATTATCAGTCCCTCTAAAACAGTTTTATCTTGCAGACCTAGTGACTACAGCTTAATCTACTAAAAATACAAAAAACAGCTAGGCGTGGTGGCACACGCCTGTAATCCCAGCTACTTGGGAGGCTGTGGCAGGAGAATCGCCTGAACCCGGGAGAGGGAGGTTGCAGTGAGCTGAGATCGCGCTACTGCACTCCAGCCTGGGCGATAGAGCGAGGCTCTGTCTCAAAAAATAAATGCATAAATAAAAATAAAAATAAAAACAAAATAAGGGCCGGGCATGGTGGCTCATGCCTGTAAACCCAGCACTTTGGGAGCCCGAGGCGGGCTGAGGTCAGGAGTTTGAGCCCAGCCTGGCAAACATGGTGAAACCCCGTCTCTACTAAAAATACAAAAATTAGCTGGGACTGGCGGCAGGCACCTGTAATACCAGTACTCGGGAGGCTGAGGCAGGAGAATCGCTTGAACTCAGGAGGCGGAGGTTGCAGCCAGACGAGATCACGCCACTGCACTCCAGCCTGGGCGACAGAGCGAGACTCTGTCACAGAAAAAAATAAATAAAAATAAATCTACTTCTAAAATATACGGGGATAGAAATGAGTAAGAGACAAGAACTCCAGGCGGTATTAATACCGCAGTCGGGCAGTATAAGGTTCATTATTTGACCTAACGAAAGTCGGCTAGTCCAGCTCCAGAGGCAAGCGCGGCTGGTTCGGTCCCGGTCCCAGCGCTCAGTCCAGAGTCCGCGCCGGAAAGTGTTTCCAAGACTCCCGGGCCCTCGCGCGAGCTGTCCACCAGCACCCTGCTGAGGACCACGAGGACACCGGCGACCGCCACAGACACAGGCACCCCACAGTCCTGAAACTCTAGCCGTGAGGCCGCCCTACGGTCCCACACACACCGCTCCCGCCGCCACAGTACAGCCAGGCGGGCATCGGACCCCAGGCCTCAGGCTCCTTAGCGTTACGCAGGGCGCCGGAGCAATACGCTCTAAGTGAACGACTCCACACGATGAGAGGTTACTACAGCGCACACGATAATGTCCGCCCTGGAGGAGACCTGCGACCTGAACTCAGTTCTTTTTACGCTGATGAATGAAAGACTAAGTAACTCACCAGCGAGACTCAGCTCCCGTTACCCGGGCAACTGGAGGCCCGACCCGGAAGTCCTACCAGCTCAGCTAGGCGCCAGCGGCCATTTCCAAGATGGCGGCTGCAGTGGGCGGGCCCAAGGCACGTGGAAACGCCAAACGGCCCCAAGTGAACAAAAGTTAAAGGAACGGGCCAAAGCTGCAGAGAGGCTGAAGGTCGTCGCGCCCGCCTGGGGTCCTTAAGCAATCCAAGTCCTCAGTCTCCCGGGTCAGCCCCTTCCGCCGCGGGCGGCAGCTTCCGGATCGCGCATGCGCAGTGTCCGCGGACTTGCCGCCAACGCCCAATAGTCTGGGACGAGGTCGGCATCCCTACACACCTATAACCGCTACCTCGAGTCTGGGGTTAGAAAACCCAGTAACCCGGAATTTAGGCAAGAAATGTATAATTTAAAAGTAAGTAGGCCTCCCGAGTGCTTTATGAAATGTCGCTAGAACTCTTGGCTGTACAATTTGCCTGCTTTGCAGCTAGGGAAAACCTAGGACACATGGAGTTAAATGCTGGGCTAAGCCAGACCTTATCTGCATTTCTATCTAGGTCCTAGGCTCTACACCTAGCACATCATTAAAATCGCACTTACCAAGGTTCTCAACAAAAGTAAAGGTTGCTAAAAGTTAACAGTGCAACATGTATTTAAAACTATTAAAGAGACAGTTTATGTGCAAGGGGTGCATAAGGAAAATAAAATACACTTTTGGTAAAAAGTGTATTTTGGTAGGCATAAGAACGTGGATTTTTAACCTATGTTAAAAGTTTAAAGAATTGTTTTTGAAGGTTTAAGCAAGTTTTGAATGGTTAATTGTAAAAGAAATTCTGTGTGTAAACATGTTGGCTAAAGATTGAAGGGGTGTCATCCAGCTTTTCTGTAAATTAGGCATTAAAATAAAAGCACAACAGGTTTCTCTTAAAGCACTAACCTGTTCTTTAACAAAAATTTTAAAGGGTTAAAAAGAGTCTATAAAAATCTTACCTCATGGTCAAACATTAAAATCGGGCAACCATGTCTACAAGGTTTTATTAAAATTGAGTTTAACATTAATAGCACACTAATATAAAGGTAAAATTTAGCTTATTCGGTATAAAATCATACAAAGAAGCACTGCTAAATATAAAGTGGTATTTGGTTTTCTTTGATCTATATATGATATGTTATTGATATGTTTTCCAAGGTTATAGGAGACTCTGATAATTCTGATATATCTTAGTGTACATGATCAGTAATAATTATAATTGTTATGTTAAACTTATTGTGTGCCACAGAGGTAACAGCTATCCTTGTCAATTGTGTCTTTACCTATGGCTACCCTAAAATTTTTCTCATCCATACAATTGTTGTCTTATTTCGGCGCTCCTTAAAAGGTGGTTTTGTGATCAGCTATAAAGATCTAACAGGTGCTCTTGAATGCAGGTTTCTGATAACGTTGGAAACTGTAACATCAGAATGGAAGAAAAACGTTCAGAACTCTTGAAAAGCTTAAATTTTCGTTAATATCAAGCAGGACAGGAATTAACTGCATGAACTAAACTAATAGGAGACTGGAGTAATCTTGATGTTTCACTTAAAATATTGCTAACCTTTTGTTTTGTTTTTCAAAGTTAAAGAAACTTTTCTTTGGAGATACTGACAGCTTTTAACAATTTAGTATGCGCCCATGAACAAAATTTGGAGCATACTTGTTTCTCTCTACCTGATTTTCTCCAGAATTTGGAAACTATCTGTGAGTATTCTTAAGTTATGGCAATATAGTTATTTGCATAAGTGCAATAAGAATCTGTTTTCTTTTGTAACAGGACACAATTGGAAAAGCTGGTTATTTTACCAAGGCTTTGACTGGAATGGTGTGCTTTCCTTTGAGGAATCAACATTTATGAAGCCAATAAAGCCCTTGGAAACTGGCCTCTTATTCTGTGTACAAAGTTCCTGTACAGGGTTTCTGATCTGTGGCAAGTAAAGAATGTCCCTTTCTAACAGGCCAGGAACCCCAAGTTATCTTGGAACCTCAAGAAGAGACAAATTCAACAACTCATAAGTATTTGATGGTACAAATCTATGACTGGGCATGCCTTTAAAAAGGTCTCACCTCAGATTCCCTCTACAGAACAAAGTTCCATCAAAGCTAATTTAAAAGGCCTATGTAACAAATAATTATTCTTGCTGCACTGTATCCAAATAATTAAGCCACACATAATAAAGCAAACTAGGCCTACCATGATTTGTCTTTTAATAAAAACGGGAAACTGGAGAAAGAAAATTGTTTCAAAAACTATAGCACACCTGTCATTAAATTCTAGTATTGCCTAATATTTTTCAATTTTTGTTATTTTCTTCATTTTTAATTAAATTCTAATTGTTCTGGCTACAAGATTCCAAAATAAGCTGTGCTTTCTTAAAGCCCTAGAAGATGAAAGCTAGATATTTCAGCAGATGCTGCCTCTAAGCCCCCCAACCATGACAGGAGAAAATCTCTTCACTGCTGGTGCTGACAACTAATAACTAAAGGTTCCCGGAATCCTTCCCACCAAGTCTAGTGAGTCCATGGAACCCAGGGTAATTAAGAGGGTATCTGTTACAGGAATCAACTCCTAAATACATCACAGGCAAGTCAAAGCCTGGAAAGCTAAGGAAGCAACCTGAGAGCCCCCCAAAAAATCTTAAATATTAATGTAAATAAATAGGAAATCTTACACTGAAAATCATAAAAGATAAGTAACTAGGCTGGGTGCAGTGGCTCATGCCTGTAATCCCAGCACTATGGGAGGCCGAGGCAGGCAGATCACAAGGTCAGGAGTTCGAGACCAGCCTGGCCAATATGGTGAAATCCCGTCTCTACTAAAAATACAAAAATTAGCCAGATGTGGTGTTGTGCACCTGTAGTCCCAGCTACTCGGGAGGCTGAGGCAGGAGAATCACTTAAACTCGGGAGGCGGAGGTTGCAGTGAGCCAAGACTGTACCATTGCATTGCAGTCTGGGTGACAAGAGCAAAGCTCCATCTCAAAAAAAGAAAAAAAATAAGTGATAAGTAACCGAGAACTACTCACCTAAGTCTCATCCCTACCTCACCAAATAGTTTTTGTCATTCCTATCTCTCCTTTTAAGTCAAATGTGAAAACTTTTTAATGGAAATTACTTACTATACCACTCTTGTGGAAACTGCTTTACTCTACTATCTGCAGTAGGACTATATACTGTAGCACTCTCAGGGTGGAATATCAGACAGAAAATCTCAATTACTGTAGCATTTTGATTGATTATTATTAAGGAAAGGGCTAAAAAGGAAGTACCAAAACAACCAAATAAATGCTTGGTTTGGGGCCGGGCGTGGTGGCTCAAGCCTGTAATCCCAGCACTTTGGGAGGCCGAGACGGGCGATCACAAGGTCAGGAGATCGAGACCATCCTGGCTAACACAGTGAAACCCCATCTCTACTAAAAATACAAAAAAATTTAGCCGGGCGAGGTGGCGGGCGCCTGTAATCCCAGCAACTCAGGAGGCTGAGGCAAGAGAATGGCGTGAACCCGGGAGGCAGAGCTTGCAGTGAGCTGAGATCCAGCCACTACACTCCAGCCTGGGCAACAGAGCGAGACCCTGTCTCTAAAAAATAAAAAAAATAAATAAATGCCTGGTTTGGGAACAAAATCATAGCATGGGTCATTCCATTCCTGGGCCCTCTTCTAATAATATGCCTGGGACTGATGTTCTTACCCTGCCTAATTAACCTTTTTCAAAGATTTTTAACCGACAGGATCATGGCCATTTCACAAACAACTACCCAAAAACATCTATAGATGGCATTGCTCCTACAGTCAACCCAAGACCAGAAAACTCTCTGTACCCTCATCAGCAGGAAGTAGCCAGAAAATGCTGTCCCTCCTCCTTTTTATAACTGTAGGGTCTGGATTGACAGAGCAGGAGCATGGTCATCTTGGACAAGCCCCTCATGCTAAAGTTCACCTTAATAGAAAACCGCCTAAATCCAAAGGGCATCAGCCGAATGGCTAAGGTCGGCATGACCATAAATCACAAGTAACATCTCCAATCAGAAACATTCCAAACTCCTTCCTGACCAGAGACATGCTAGACCCTAGATAAAGCCCCCTCCAGGCCAGGAAGATGCTGGCCCCGAGATAACCCCCCTCCAGGCCAGAAAAATGTCTGCCTCGAGATAACCTCCCCTCCTCCCCTTATGGCAGGATTCCAACCCCGCCATAAACTTCTCCACACACACACACATTCCAAGCTTGTGATAAGCCCCCTCACCCTAAAACCAATATATACTCTTAGTAAGAGAAAGGGCTCCTGACCAAAATGAGCCGTCTAAAGTAAACCTGTCTCTAACTGCCAATGTATTTTTGCTTCTTTCCTCTTTCTCTGACTCACACAAAAGCCGTAACTACAGCTTTGATTAGACAAGAGACTGATTTCAACAACTTTCTCCCGATAAGAAGATCGTGGACTATGGAATGGACTGGTTCTGGTTTACAGAGGCTGTGTACTTGCATGCCTTGATGTCCTGAAAGACTTGACAGATAGGACCTAATTGTAATACACTTAAATGTCAAGTCACCATCCCAAACTGAATATACATGAGTCGTATGTTACATGCATGTTTCTTCAATATGCATGTATCAGGTCCACCTTCATGAATATTCATAGCCCCTCATGTAACCTGTTGAATGTGTAAGTTTAGCCAACCTGTGCAGTCTAAAGCTCCTGCCTCAAAGCCTCCCCCTTCAAAGTGCCCGTCTCTGAGTTTCTGCTGGAGTCAGCTCCCCAGCCTCCAGGATGGCTACTTTGCAGGTTGTACCCCTTTAGAAGAAATAAAGTCTCCATCTCCTTTTCTAAATTTATACATTGTGAGTTGTTTTTGTTTTTCTTTCTAAAAAAAAAAATACACACACACAGGTCAAGACTACATGGCTAGGATGACCCTAACACCTCGTATGACTCTAGTCCCTTACTGAGAATATTTAAGCTGCCAAAAATAAATGTGGTGTTTGTAATAACCAACTTCTGACAATAGGTCCCTGACTGCCCTTTCTTAAAGCATTTACTGAAAATAGCTTACAGCTGTGAATTCTTCCTCTGACCCTTTGCGATGTATGTCCCACTCAGGAGTGTTTTTTGGCCGGGTGAGGTGGCTCACGCCTGTAATCCCAGCACTTTGGGAGGCCAAGGCGGGCAGATCACCTGAGGTCAGGAGTTCGAGACCAGCCTGGCCAACATGGTGAAACCCTTTCTCTACTAAATATACAAAAAGTTAGCCAGGTGTGGTAGCGCATGCTTGTAGTCCCAGCTACTCAAGAGACTGAGGCAGGAGAATCTCTTGAACCTGGGAGGCAGAGGTTGCAGTGAGCCAAGATTGCACCACTGTACTCCAGCCTGAGAGAAGTGAGAAACTCCGTCTCAAAAACAAAAAGAAAGAAAAAGAAAAAGAATGTGTTTCTCAGACCTGAAAGCCATTCCTCTGAAATGTAATCATCAGAAATGATAGGACCCCTGTCTTTCAGTCTTTGTAGTGGGAGAATAGAATCCCAACTTTGCTAATTGCCAGTTAACAGACACAGCTGGCCTAACCAACATTTCCACTGAGCAATCCTTGGTAATTTGTCATTTCCCTAATTCCTCCCCCTTCCTGATCCTTCATTCTCCCTTTAAAAGGCACAGTCACCTCTGTACAAATGAAAGTTCATTTACACTAGACCCTCTTTCTATTACAGTAGTTCATTACTGACTAAAATCTGTCCTTACCACCTTAGCGTCTGGCTTTGTCTTTCACAGAATTCAGCAAATTGCCTGAGTTACATAACTACTAAGCACCTAAGCCATAGATTGATTCCAGGTCTCAAAGTCCATGGTCTGCCCCTTTAGAAAGGCTTATTGAATATCCTAAACAAACATAAAATGAAAGAGGAACACAGTCAGTGTCAAGCAGAGCTCCGTGAGGGTAAATAATCAAAGGAACAACCTGGAGAACCTCACAATTCGTAATTTAAGAATATTATTTTCCAACATCTTTTCTTTTAATATATACCATGGAACTGTGTTTTAGGGTATTTTGTTTTTGTTTTTGTTTTTAGATTCAGGGGGTACGTGTGCAGGTTTGTTACATCAGTATATTGGCTGATGCTGAGGTTTGGGCATCTAATGATCCCAAGTAGAAAACATATTACCCAATAGGTCGTTTTTCAATCCTTACCCAGTCCCTCCCCCTTTTGGAATCCCCAGTGTTATTGTTCCCTTCTTTGTGTCCCTGTGTACTCAAATGTTTAGCTCCCACTTATAAGTGGGAACATGGCATTATTTGGTTTTCTGTTTCTGCGTTAATTCACCTAGCACAATAGCCTCCAGCTGCATCCATGTTGCTGCAAAGGAAATGATTCCATTCTTTTTTGTGACTGTGGGAACTGTGTTCTTTAATTGCTTTAAACTAGTGAGTAGTAGTGCTCGTTTGGGCAGCATATATACTAAAACTGGAATGATACAGACAAGATTAGCATGGTGCCTGTAGAAGGATGACATGCAAATTCATGAAGCGTTCTATTAAAAAAAAAAAAAGTGGGTAGTAAAGATATGAATTCATTCCATAGGTTAATTGGTATTATAAAATTCTTGATCTATATAGCAGCCAATATAGTCTCAGACTTTTGATTCTCACAACTAAGGCATGTCTTCCAACTTAGTCGATAGCAGTAATAGCAGAGATCTGGAAACTCCATCTTTAAATTTCTGTTTTATTTCTTAAATTGTTCAGAATCCAGACAAGGTGCTGCCTATTGGAGGCTCCTCACATATAGCACCAGAATCAAGACCCAGATGTAACAGAGAAAACAATACAGAATCATCCAAGTAGAGCTTAATTCACAGGCTTTAAATTGTGCTTTTCAAAAACAAATTTTCAAAAAGTTTCCCATAGTCAAACCCATCAGACATTTATGATTCTTCCCCTATTTTTATGCTTATAAAATAAAGCATTTTCCCCTATTGAAAATAAAAATGTTACTTTTGTTTTCTTTTAGTTGTTTTATGGATTCATTTATAAATCACTGTTTCTCTTTCTCTCTCCAGAAATTATTTAGTGTATGTTGTAAGGGATCTTTTTTCTTTCCAATCACTATGCCCTTTCCCCAGTGCCAATTTTGGAATAATTATTTCCCTCACTAGTTGTTAAGGCCACCTTTATCATACAGTAAATTCTTGTTAATACATATTTTATATATTTTCCGGAGCATCCTGCCCAATGTACCTGTCAATTCTTATGTTGGTACCAGTCCTAAAAAAATAAACAAATCAGACTCAAACTCATGATTCATGCCCTCATAGGATTTGCCTTTTGAAACAGCAGGACCCTCACCCTGTCCAAAGTTCCCTGTACACCATGTGCTATTGCTGACTGGCCCTCTTAATAAATTTAATCCATCCCACTCTTAACACTGACTCACACCAGCTACAGAAGACAGTAGCTGATGAAGTGGAGAGAACCCAGCCAATGACAGACCCAACCCCACACCCTGGAATAGGAAAGAAAATCCAAAGCAGAGCTCTGAATTATCCTGAGTGGAAAAAAACAAAACACAAAACGAAAGACTACAAACTGTATGACTCCATCTATGTAACATTTTTGAATCAACAAACTTGTAGAAATGGTGAACAGATTAGTGGGTGCCATGAAATAGAGTCGGTTTGGGGAGTAATAGAGAGGTATGTTTGGTGATAGAAGTGCAACAGGAGGGCTCTTTGTGCTAATGGAAACATACTCATTTAACTGTAGTGGTGGATACACAAACCAACATTTGATAAAATTATATAGGACTAAATACATATGCAAAGTACACATCAAACTGGGGAAATCTGAGTATGACTGTTTTGTTGTTAATATCTTCATTGTGATGCTGTACTATACTTCTGCAGTATGTTACTATTGAGTGAAACTGACTAAAGGGTAAGGAATCTCTGTATTATTTCTTACAACTGCATATGAATCTATAATTAGCTCAACAAAAATTTCAGTTGAAAAAAACAAGGGTCTTTCCTTGATTACTAACTTGTTTTAAAGCAACTGATTGGAATCCTACCTTGAAATTGCAATGTAATTGCCATCTATTTAAAGCAGTGCTGTTCAACAGACCTTTCTGCAAGGATGGAAATATCCTAAATCTATACTGCCCAATACAGTGACCACTAACACATGCAAATATTGAGCACCGGAGATGTGGCTAGTGCAACTAAAAAATTGAATTACAAATATCGCTTAATTTGAATTTATGTTTAAAAGGCCACCTGTGATAGTGGCAACCTATGGGACAGCACAGAAATGAAACTTGACCTTATTCCCGATTCCCTTGTAAGTAGGAAGGAAGAACACTCATTTTGAAACCATGCAATTGTCCCATAGGACGGATGTTTATAGTCTTTTTTTTGAGACGGAGTCTCGCTCTGTTGCCCAGGCTGGAGTGCAGTGGCGTGATCTCGGCTCACTGCAACCTCTGCCTCTGGGGTTCAAGCAAGCAAGTCTCTGCTTCAGCCTCCCGAGTAGCTGGGATTACAGGCGCCTGCCACCACACCCAACTAATTTTTGTATTTTTTTTTTTTTAGTAGAGATGGGGTTTCACCATGTTGGCCAGGCTGGTCTTGAGTTCCTGACCTCATGATCCACCTGCCTCAGCCTCCCAAAGTGCTGGGATTACAGGCGTGAGCCACCGCGCCTGGCCTGGTCTCCTTTAAATAAACAAATTGACTCTCCAACTCTAAAAACTTGAGAAATTTACATTTGTCTTATCTGAGTTCCTTTCTCAGGAAACTAGCCATCAAACCTCCCAGGTAGCACCTAGGAACTGAAACTTACCAGATCACCACATCTGGACAATCAGATGCCAGACCCCTCACCTCTAACAATTTCCTAACTGATGCCTGTTGATCCACTCCTCCTCCTTATCTCTCCCCAAATCCTGCTGTTTTTGCACATGCAGTTACATTTCTTCCCTGCTATATCCTAATTTTAATCAGTTGAGAAGATAGATTTGAGACTGATCTCCCCCCATAGGCTGTAGCACCCAAAAATGCCTTCTTCCCTGACAATAATGGGGTCTCAGTGATAGGCTTTCTGTGCTGTGAACCACCGGACCTAGACTGAACCCCTGGCATTTCTCTATTTCCCACCACTGAACTAAGTTATAAACTCTCAGGATAGATCTATGTTTCTTCATTTTAAGATGGAAATTAAAAGGTACATCCTGGAGTGTTATTTTCAGTGTAAAATATGGCTGTGAAACCTCCTACACCTATGCACAGGTAAACTGATGGCCCTGCAAATGCCCAGAGAAGTCACCTTGTAAAGATTTAATGAATGTTTCCCACCATTATTGGAAAATCTGGCTAAGTCAGTAGCTTTGTTTTCATATACTTAGGGGGGAAATCAACAAAAACTTGATACCCTGTCATTTCCTTCCAGTTTCTTCTGCAACTCTAGCTCCGAAGACTGCCGTTCCTGCAGTGTGTATATATGTGTGTATATATATATATAAATTTTTTTTTTTTTTTTTTACAACACCAGGGGAAAAAAAAAAAACATGCAAATGTACTATTTCTTCAAACACAACTAGGAATGATTGAACAGCTGGGGGAATAGGAAGAAAACCCCTCAGAGAACCAAGGACAAGCAGTGGCACATGGCCACTAGGAATGGTTCTTCACTGCTATGTGGGCAGCCGGCAGCCAGCAGCTAGAGTCCGTCCTCGCTCTTCAGCCAGCAGTTCTGCAAAGTCAGGCCAGTTGGCTCTCCGCCGGCGGGCTCGCTCTTCAGCCAGCAGGTTCTGCAAAGTCAGGCCAGCTGGCTCTCGGCCCGCTCTGCACCCACGCGAAGTTCGGGTGGGGAGGGGTAGGGGTGGTTCCGCTCCGCCCCGCCCCGTGCCCGCCCCTCCCCGCTAGGGGCGGAGCCTGCGCCTGCGCGCTCAGCGGCGGGCGTGTAACCTACGGGTGGGCGCCCCACGCCCGCCAGATTCGCGCAGTCTCTGAGATACACGCCGCGCATCTCCAGGGCCTGAGCCGGGTCTGTTCTTCACGCAGGTGTCCCGCGCGTCCCATTCAGCCATGAAGTCCGGCATCCGTGTAGCGCTGGTGACTGGAGGCAACAAGGGCATCGGCTTGGCCATCGTGCGCGACTTGTGCCGGCTGTTCTCGGGGGAAGTGGTGCTCACGGCGCGGGACGTGGCGCGGGGCCAGGCAGCCGTGCAGCAGCTGCAGGCGGAGGGCCTGAGCCCGCGTTTCCACCAGCTGGACATCGACGACCCGCAGAGCATCCGCACCCTGCGCGACTTCCTGCTCAAGGAGTACGGGGGCCTGGACGTGCTGGTCAACAACGCGGGCATCGCCTTCAAGGGTACGGGGAGGGGACGTGGCCTCCCCGACGTGGGCTGCTCCTGTCGAAGAAGCGCTGCACTGGGGCTCCTACCGGCTGCGGGATCCAGAAGGACTCCCTAGGGAGGAGAGGGAGGAGCTGGGAGATGTAGGGAGTGCAGAAACCTTAGAGAAAGGGAGTTTTCCAGCCAAAGGGAACTTTGTGTTTCCCTGGCTCGGACTTTTGGGGATCTCTTTCAGATTTTCTGCAGTTTTTCTGAATTGAGCTTTAAGGCCATTGAATGAATTTTGAACTGATTTTAAAATAAACGATAAATTGCAAAAAGAAAAAATGGTTATGCCAAGATCCAGTGTGTGCGCCCTTCATCCTCTTTCCCCCAATGGTACCATCTTACAAAAATACTAGAACGTTATCAAACCAATAGATTGGCACAATACTGTAACCAGACACAGACTTTAGACAGAAGGCACTAATTTTTTATTTTTAGTATCATTCTATAGAATTTTACCCTGTGGGTACAATGTGTTAACTATGTTCTCTTTTTCTCCTAAAAGTTGCTGATCCCACACCCTTTCATATTCAAGCGGAAGTGACGATGAAAACAAACTTCTTTGGTACCCGAGATGTGTGCACAGAATTACTCCCTCTAATAAAACCCCAAGGTGAGTCTGATGGGAAACAGCGCACCTTCTCTTTGGGGCTTGACTCTGGCCCCTGCTTGTCTGGGATTTCTCCTACAGGCTCCTGCTTCCTCTCCATGCTGCATAACCTCTGTGCTTTGTCTCCTGCCAGCTGATAGGTGCCATTCTGCCTCAGGACTTTGTCCTCACTTCTCTCACTCCCATGGCCATTCGTCCTCCCCATCCCACTGGTCTTTGCACACCTGGCTGACTCTCTTATCCTTCAGGTCTTAGCTCAAACGTCTCCTGAGAGATGCTCTTTCTTTGCTCCATGCCCCTCCGCGTGGGAGTCCATGCTGTACTCTTTCTCTGCTCTTTCAGAGAGATGTTATTCAGGCTGGTGGAACCTTTACTACCACCAGTTCATTAGGCCCTTCTAATACCTGTCACCTGTCTGGAACACTCCTTAAGCTCCCGACCACATAGTTGTCTTGCTGCCTTTCCGTCTCTTCCTGATGCCTTTCCCCACAATCTAAGATATTTCCAGAGGATCCCTGTCCTTTTCCCTAAGTTATCTGGGACACAGACCCTACCACCTACCCACCAGGATCGTGCAGGTCACCGTGCCCCACCCCTCATAATCACTTACTAGGTCCTAGGAGTTGTGCCCACCGAGTTCCTCCTGAATCCATCTCTCCGGCTTTACAGCAGGCCCTCACCTGTCCCTCTGGACAATTGCAAAGCCTCACAGGGCACCTCTGGTCTTGAGTCTTGTCTTTTCCCAGCATCCTGCATGCTGTCTGCATGGTCATGCCGCTCCCAAAAATCCTTCAGGAGGAAAATCCAAGCCCTTAGCATGGTACACAGAGATGTCCATAATCTGCCGCTGCTTAACTCCGGGCCCATTTTAACTCCCCTTCAACGTGCTCAAGGTGCTGGCCATGACTATCACATTTCTTTGGTTGTAAACTGCTGAAATGGTTACCCTAAGTAATGGGACAGGAGATGAACCCACCCATTAAATAAAGCAGCAATTAAGCAGCTACTTTTAGAAAAATTTAAATGTGTGGCTTCGAGTTGGGTACTTGCATGTACGGCTTACTCTCAGCTTTTATCCTGTTTCCCTGTCCTGTCATCGTATTAAGTTGTGCTACTTCTAAGGCTCTGGTTCACCAGGACCTCAAAGGGCAGCTCTTCCAAATCTCACCTGACTCTACTCAGCCAAAATGTGAAGGCAGGAATGAAGTTCTTTATGCAACTACCACCACACTTGCTATGCGTATTCCTCTTAGAACTCATACTAGTAACTGTCTCTCATATGAAAATTTTCTGCTTCAAAATCCCTGCAAATTTGGCATTCACCTTTCTACAGGATTGTTGCACACCTTTCTACATAATGCTTTGTGGTGTATCTTAGGGAGAGTGGTGAACATATCTAGCATGATGAGTCTCAGAGCCCTTAAAAGCTGCAGCCCAGAGCTGCAGCAGAAGTTCCGCAGTGAGACCATCACCGAGGAGGAGCTGGTGGGGCTCATGAACAAGTTTGTGGAGGATACCAAGAAGGGAGTGCACCAGAAGGAGGGCTGGCCCAGCAGCGCATACGGAGTGACGAAGATTGGCGTCACCGTTCTCTCCAGGATCCACGCCAGGAAACTGAGTGAGCAGAGGAAAGGGGACAAGATCCTCCTGAATGCCTGCTGCCCAGGGTGGGTGAGAACCGACATGGCGGGACCCAATGCCACCAAGAGCCCAGAAGAAGGAGCAGAGACCCCTGTGTACTTGGCCCTTTTGCCCCCGGATGCTGAGGGTCCCCATGGACAATTTGTTATGGAGAAGAGAGTTGAACAGTGGTGAGCTGGGCTCACAGCTCCATCCATGGGCCCCATTTTCTACCCTGTCCTGAGTTGGTCTAAAGGGCACTTACAAAGTCATAAATATCCTTATATAAGAAAAAAAAAAAATCTCTTATCAATTAGTACTCACTAATATACTACTAATTGAGCAGCCTACACACTCAGTTCACTACCTAAATCTGTCAGGTCTTTTGTGGTTTCCTCTGATGCAGGGAGAGGAAAAATTGTAATTGATGAAAATAATGAATGAAAATCAACAGATGAATAAATGGTTCTTTATAAGTGTCCATTTGTACGGATTGTTTAGATGCTAAATAATCTTTGTCTCAAGTACAATCAACCTAAAAGGGAAGGGAAGGGACAGTACAACTCGGTGAGCGAACTCAGAGAGTAAATAAAGAGCCAGTTAGTCAATAGTTTCAGTGTTGCAGGTCAAACAATGCATTGGCACTCCCCATATCCACATTATGTAACACAAGCTGACAGCACGTAAGCCTGTGAACATAGCTGGCTCTGGCCCTTGCTAGCCTCTAGGAAAACATGGACAGTACCACAAAGGCAAAGGCAGCTGACTTGGTCTCTTTAAAAAGCCAGAGTCATTGGGGAAAAACAGCTAGTTGGCAATGTGTGAAACGTGAGCGTGCACTTGCATGAAATACCGAGCTGATGAGGGACCTATCAGATCTCCATAGGAATGTTATTTATGTAGAGATGAAGTGTCATGAGGTGCACAACATAAATGTGTTTCAGCACAGCATATACAGACTGATGACCAGATAAGGCAAATGTGACAAAATGTGCACGTTGTTGAACTTTGGTGAGCGTATGGGTATCTGTTATTGTATTCTTGCAACTTTTCTGTTTGTTGAAAGCTTTCAAAACCTGGGGGTTGAGAGTAGAAACTCCTAGCTCTGCCCTCTGATTTCCTGACCTCAGGCAGAATCCTGTATCTTGCTTTGTCTCTGTTTCCTCAACTATCAAATTGGGATGACAGTTATAGGATTATATGTATTGAGATCAAGTGTTGAGAACAAATTAGCTGGGTGTGATGGTGGGTGCTTGTAATCCCAGCTACTCGGGAGGCGGAGGCAGGAGAATCACTTGAACCCAGGGGGCGGAGGTTGCAGTGAGCCGAGATAGCACCACTGCACTCCAGCCTGGGTGACAGAGCGAGACTTCACCTCAAAAAAAAAAAATAGTGTTGAGAACAGCCCCTGCTGTCATTAGTTCCTGTAAATGGGCCTGACACCATCCCTGCTGGTAATGAGAAGTGTGTGTTTACTGTCTAACACCCAGTAAGTGCCCACGCCGTTCTCTTTCTTCCACAGAATCACACTCGCGATCTCTCACACTTCACCAGTGAGAATTAAGGCTTAGAGAAACAAAAAGCAATTGCCCGTGAAAAGAAGGAGAGACCCCTTATTTTGTCTTCTTTTTTTTAATTCTCCAAACTGCTTCAGAAGAGTACCTTATTTTATTTATTTATTTATTTGAAGACAGTCTCAATCTCAGCTCAGCGCAACTTCTGCCTCCCAGGTTCAAGTGATTCTCCTGCCTCAGCCTCCTGACTAGCTGGGATTACAGGTGCCCACCACCACCCCTGGCTAACTTTTGTATTTTTAGTAGAGACAGGGTTTCGCCATATTGGCCAAGCTGGTCTCAAACTCCTGGCCTCAAGTGATCTGCCTGACTCAGCCTCCCAAAGTATTGGGATTACTGACATGAGCCACCGGCCCCAGCCTAGTCCCTTATGTTAAAAGTGAGGTTTACTTTAACAAAGTTTCACCTTTCAGTCGGGCCGTTCATTTCTTCCTAGTTTTTGTAAACAGACACCAGAAAACAACCACATCTACTACAGCAAGACTGGTATTCTCAAGTGCTACTTTAGAAATGTATACCTGTATTGCGAAGATATTTTTCCCTTAATACCTTACAAATAACACCTAGCTTCTTTAAGAGATTTAGAGAAAGCATTGTTCCAAATTCAAGTACCTGCTTACCTCTAGGGGGGAGGGGAGGAGGACACACACGTGGCTCCGTCTTTATTGCTAAGGATTTCTTATGCCGGGTGATAGGCACATGGTGCTAAAATAACATTTTCAGAAAAAGGTAAAGTCATAACATACAGATATAAAAGTAGTATTCAAAAAAATGTATTTTACTCCTGAGGGAACCAGGGAAATGTTATAACTGGTTCAAAGGAAAAGCTAAAAGGGCACAGATTATATGGATATAATCAACAAATGTTGAGCTGAATTGCAAATGACGACAACATTGGTGTTTTCACAGGGAGGAGGAGGTCAATTCAGTCACCACTAGACAGGACAGCACTGTCACCTCTGTTACCTACAATTTAGAAAGAGATGCAAGAATGAACAGGGCCATAGCCCGATGCTACGAGTCTTGCCTTGCAAACACCCTTCACTCTTGAGTGAGTCTGGCAAAACACCCATCCCCAAGATTAATAACCATGCCAGCCTGCTCTAGCAGCTCTTAACACATGATGACGCTGAGGAGAAAGGAAACAAGAGACTGACTGTGCTCTTATGTTCCCACCCCAATCCCAAACGGACAGCAATTCTCCCAGCCAATGCTGTCTTTTCCCCTAATAAATTTACTCTTCTACGCTGTAAAATGATTATTCTTTCCGCATATCTCCCAGACTAATCATGCGAGAGGATGTCCTCAAATTGTTCCCTAAAAAAGAAATAGGTGCCCCTGAGAGTCGTTCAACATACCTCTAACCAGACAGCACACCATGCCCCACTTTCCTTTACAAGAAGAGGCACACTGCTTCCCAGGCGGCGCTCCCACCTGAGTCCTGGTTCGTCCACTATCGCCCTCCCAAACATTTTGTTCTTGTAATTATTCCCTTTCTTTCCTTCACCAAATTCACCTCTCTGAGGTTACCATTGCATAAAAGCATGCTTTAATATCTGTCCCAGCTTTTAAAACTAAGGAGTTGAGTCACACAAAGTAGGTTCTCTGACCACACTGGAATTACGTTAGAAATCAATAGCAAGGTAGCCAGAAAAATCCCCAAATAGTTGGAAACCAAAAAAATACACTTTCAAACACCCTTAGTCAAAAAGATATCAAAAGTTAAGAAAAAAAAAAAAATTAAAAATTTTTAAAAAAGATACTGAAAGTTAAATTCAAAAGTATTTTGAACTGAATGAAACAAAACACAACATATCAATGTTTGTGGGATGGCACTAAAGCAGTACTTAGAGGGAAATTTATACTACTTAACACCTACACTAGAAAAGAAGAACTATCTCGGCCGGGCGTAGTAGCTCATACCTGTAATCCCAGCATTTTGGGAGGCCGAGGCGGACAGATCACCTGAGGTCGAGAGTTCGAGACCAGCCTGACCAGTATGGAGAAACCCTGTCTGTACCCAAAATACAAAATTAGCCGGGCGTGGTGGCACATGCCTGTAATCCCAGCTACTAGGGAGGCTGAGGCAGGAGAATCACTTGAACCCGGGAGGCGGAAGTTGCTGTGAGCCAAGATCACGCCATTGCACTCCAGCCTGGCCAACAAGAGCCAAACTACGTCTCAAAAAAAAAAAGAACTATCTCAAACAATGACCTCTAGTTTCTAGTAAGAAACTAGAATAAGAGCAAATGAAACCCCAAATGAGCAGATGAAAGTAAATAAAGATCAGAACAAAAATCAATAAATCAGAAGAAAGCAATGAAGGTAAAAAAAAAAAAAATGAAGCCAAAAGCCAGTTCCTTGAGGGAAAAAAAAAAAAAGTGCTAAACCTCTAGCCAGACAGATCAGAAAAAGAAAAAAAAAATGAAAGACACAGATTACCAATGTCAGGAATGAGAAATAGCATCATTATGATTAATAAAAAGATAATAAGGGGTTCGGCAGTGACTCACCCCTAAAATCCCAGCACTTTGGGAAGCCGAGGCAGGTGGATCACCTGAACTCAGGAGTTCAAAGTCCAGCCTGGCCAACAGGGTGAAACCCTGTCTCTACTAAAAATACAAAAACTAGCCAGGCATGGGGGCGGACACCTGTAATCCCAGCTACTCTGGAGGCTGAGGCAGGAGAATCACTTGAACCCAGAAGGCAGAGGTTGCAGTGAGCCGAGATCATGCCACTGCACTCCAGCCTGGTCAACAGAGTAAGATTCTGTCTAAAAAACAAAACAAACAAACAAAAAAGATAAGAGCATATTACTAACAACCTCATATCATTGGAAGTAACAACTTACATAAAATGTACACATTTATTAATATTTAGAAAAACAGTCAACTCACTGAAGAAGCAATGGAAAACCTCTATGTCTGTAAAGTGAAATATCAAATACTCTCTGGAAAGAAAGAAATACTAGTTGGGGCATAAAGGGAACCACACCCAGCAGGTGCCCAGCTATTGACTTGACTTCGATAGAGAAAGTGGACTCAGGGTGGCAGGGCACAGGCAGTTCAGCCAGATCTGCTTGAGTAAAGCAGAATCATGATGAGACGGTAGCTCTCTGCTAATCTCGGAGTCACTAATCAAACACCCTCAGATCAAACACGTGGGTTACAGTGAAGAAGATGAATGAAGGAGTCCAACTGACCGTCCATACATTGACACACCTTTGGCAATTCCTTCGTTTTATGGGTACACGTCTCATGGGGAGATGCCATATATTTTACATATTAACTGTGACTTTGGATAAAACAAAAATGTAGATACTTTTAGCAAATAGGGGTTATATAACAATTAGAGAAAACATTCTAATAAATGGCTTACGGCATAGTACCAGTTTCATAAACATTCTCTCCCATTTGAGAATACTAGGAACCACACAGAGATTGCCTGCCCATGCCTGGAAGTCTAATTACAGGACATCTTTTTTCTCTAATTCTTAAGTTTCAGTTTCTCTTAAGCAAGAAAGGGGATCTAACTGCTAACTAAAGCAGTTAGTGTGTAAATAATTTCATTGCATCTTAAGATAAAGCAAACATCTGCATTTCACAGTGAGTGATGGGTGCACAACCAAGAAAATTACTTGGCACGTGTTTTCCTCCCTTTGGGATTCTCCCAAAATAGTTTTAATTCAACTGTCACCTGTCTCAGGCCCCCTACTGACCCACCATCATCAAGTTTTGCTTTCAGGGAGGTAGACCTCTTAGCCCTGCAAAGCATTGCTTGGCTCAGCCAGGATCAAAAGAGGGATGTATCTTGGCATGACACAACACACAGCTCATGGAGACGGTAGATCCGGGAGTTGGGGCATTAGAAAACTTTCTGGAACATTCAGCCCCTCCGGAGTTGCAGCTCTGGAACAGAGCCTCAACCCAGCCATGCTGGCCTGCAACCATGAGGCACCTTCAGGCTGGAACAATTCGGAGAATTGACATCTCTGTACACACAGGTCTCAATACCACTTCTAATGTGTACGAGGTGTTAGTCTCAGATAAACAGTACTGGGCATGTTGGCTGCAAACAAAGTAGCATCTGGTGGAGCACACGGAGGTACACAAGAAAGAGGAGTTGCTCATGACATGGGGTCAGAATCCATGCCTTCCATTAGCTGGGCTACTTACTTGGATCTCCATAATCCCAATATAGGTGAGAAGGTGTCTATACCCTGTGAAGTATAATTTTGGCAGAACAAGGTACATTTCTTAGGATATGGACTATCCCAGGAAGTCCATCCCTCACAGGGATTTGCCATTCAGAACTGCCCAGTCCTGACACTAAAAGACAACAAAGGAGATTTAGGGTCACACTAGCTATTGCAGATAGCCCCTAACGTGTAATCACAATTCTATAACTTTATGTCATCTATGCCATAATTCCCATTTTGGGGAACAGTAATAGATTGAAGACTGGCTGCCAGGGAGATATGTCCATGCATCAGAATCTATGAATATTTTCTTTGGAGGAAAGATTTTTGCAAATGTAATTAAGGATTTCAAGCTGAGCTCATCCTGGATGATCTGGGTAGGCCCTAAATCAATGACAAGTGTCTTTTTACAAAACAGAGAGAGACAAGGCAGGCATATGAAGACAGGTTGGTTGGAGGGATGTGGCCAAAGACCCAAGCCAAGGAAAGCCTGCAGCCCACAAAAAGCTGGAAGAGTCAAGAAAAGATTTCCCTCTAGAGACTTTGGAGGGAATGTGGCTATACTCACCGCTTGATTTCAGACTTCTGGCCACCAGAACCGTGAGAGTAAATCTCTGTTGTAAGTCACCAAGTTTGGGGTTATCTGTTTCATTTTGTTTTGTCTTTTGAGACAAAGTCTTGCTCTGTTGCCCAGGCTGGAGTGCAGTGATGTGATCTCGGCTCACTGAAACCTCCGCCTCCCGGGTCCAAGTTCAGGAGCAGCTGGGACTACGGACACGCATCACCACGCCCGACTAATTTTTGTATTTTTGTAGAGACAGGGTTTCACTATGTTGGCCAGGCTGGTCTCCAACTCCTGACATCAAGTGATCCACCTGCCTGGGCCTCTCAGACTGCTGGGATGACAGGCATGAGCCACCACGCCCGCCCGGATGTGTTATGGTGGCCCTAGGAAAGAGAAACCGAAATCCCAACATAAGCAGATATCCTGTGACTGAAATTAACCCTCCAACAACTTCCCACTCTGGCCTTACCTAACTATAAACCTCTCTCCTCACTCATATAGACAGCCTTCCAAGTTTTATCCGGTTCTCTGGAGCCTAGAAGCAAAAACCTATGACAACCTTTTTCTTGATCCAGCAGCGAAGACCCATCCACCTCATCTCAGAGCAGCAGTAGCAGCAGCAGCTGTGCCTGAAGCCCTCTGTCACCTTACCCCTGGAGCCTCCTTTAACATAGTGGGCCCTCCAGCTGCACAATTTTTGCTTCTCACTGAAAATAGTCAACCTGATTCACCTCCTGAGACATTAGAACGAGATCTCAAATGCCTAGAACAACTGACTGCTGTACGCGTCTTCACGTTTTTGTTCCTTACATAGCTTTGTTTTTATTTACCTTTGTTCCTTATTTACCTTTGTTCCCACCCCCCCACCTTCTCTGCTGGTTTAAGGTTCTGGATTGCAAATAGCTACGTGTTATCTCCTAACTGTGTCACCCATGTGGGCCCCTGTTCCTAATACTGCCTTTGTACCCCTCGTGGCTCCACGGCTTAAACCTAATTTAACCAGCCATTGGAATTATGTCCACGTTTGATATGTTTTGCTATGTCCCCACCCAAATCTCATGTCAATAATCCTCCCAGTGCTGGAGGTGGGTCCTCGTGGGAGTGATTGGATCATGGGGGCGGGTTCTCATGAATGGGTTAGCACCATCCCCCCCGCCCCGTGTTGTCTCATGATAGAGTTCTCATGAGATCTGGCTGTTTAAAAGTGTGCAGCCCCTCCTCCTTTTCTCTCTTCCTTCTACTCTAGCCATGTAAGTCATACCTGCTTCCCCTTTGCCTTCCGCCAGGATTGTAAATGTCCTGAGGCCTCCCCAGCCATGCTTCCTGTATAGCCTGTGGAACTGTGAGCCAATTGAACCTCTTTTATTTGTAAGTTACCCAGTCTCAGGAATTGCTTTATAGCAGTGAGAGAATGGACTGATACAACATCCCTTTGGGCATTTCCCAGTTTCTATTAGTACCGATCCCTTGTAGTGAATCAGTTGTGTAAATGGCAAATACTATAACAAGCCAGATGGCCAAAAACTGAGTACTCTTTATAAGGTCATGCAAAAAAATGGGAATTTTCTGTCTCAGTTAAAATGAAACGTGGGTATTCTTTCATAGAAATTAGCACTTCAACCACACTTACTAACAGAGCTTAGTAAGTAACCAACTGATGTGGGACTAACTGTACAAGTGGAAGATTCTTCTCTTACACAGATGCTTTAAGGAAGGTTTCTACTTACGCTTAGTCTCCTTGACTATGGAACTATGTGCTGATGTCTACATCTCACTGCCTGGTACTGGAGTAGACTTGTGTTGACTTGTGTCAAAGCTGTAGGACAATTACACAACATCATGGGGTATTTTGGCCAACAATGGAACGTTGGGTGGCGTCCAGTGACTGATAGTGGATTTATGCTACAAAAGCTAATTGGCTACTGCCCACAAATCAGACAGAGACTTGCCAACCCTATAAGCTGATGCCAACTATCAGAAAAGTTCCTGATATTTCTCTGAGTCCCTTTGGCCCATTGATTTCCCCTTATTTAAAAAAAAAAAAAAAAAAAAAAAAAAAGTCTTCAAATCTCTTAATTCAAGATAAAGAAGCCAGGCATGGTGACTCATGCCTATATTCCCTGCACTCTGGGAGGCCAGGACAGGAGGATTGCTTGAGGCCAGGAGTTCAAGACCAGCCTGGGCAATATAGTGAGATCCCATCTCTACAAAAAAATTTAAAAATCAGCTGACCATAGTGGCACATATATGTAGTCCCAACTGCTGGGGAGGCTGAGACAGGAGGATCCCTTGAGCCTGGGAGTTTAAGGCTGCGGTGAGCTACAATCATGCCCCTGCACTCCAGCCTGGGCAACAGAGCAAGACACTGTCTCAAAAAAAAAAAAGAGAAAAGAAAATAAAATATAAGCTTCAATTTAAAACCCTAAATCTTAACCTTTGAGGAACAATTCTGTGCTGCTTTATTCTGTCTTCAGGCATACCTATTTCACACTTTAAAGAAGGCCCAAAAAGTGGCTCAAAAAACCCTATGTGCCTTGGTTCAGAGACTGACAGAGAACGAGAGAGTGTAATTAAAGCCAGAGGTCTCCTTGCCTAAGAAATTCACAGGACTGGATTGACAGTGGGTTAAAAAGAGTCATTCTAGATATACTACTGCCTTCTCAAGGCAGAACAGGCACCATCTTAGAGAATGTTAAACTTCCATCCTACAGTCTTTTCTATGATCTTTAATATTATAGAGATCTGGGAAATAAAGACATTAGAAAATTCAGCAATCTGGGCTGGGTGTGGTGGCTCACGCCTGTAATCCCAGCACTTTGGGAGGCCCTGGTGGGCAATCACCTGAGGTCAGGAGTTCAAGACCAGCCGTCCAATATAGTGGAACTCTGTCTCTACTAAAAAAATACAAAAGTTAGGAGATAACACCTGGCTAATTGTGTGTTGTTTTTAAGTATAGATGGAGTAGTGCACGACTGTAGCCCCAGCTCCTTGGGAGGTTGAGGCAGGAGAATCACTTGAACCTAGGAGGTGAAGGTTGCGGTAAGCCTAGATCGCGCCACTGCACTCCAGCCTGGGCAACAGATCGAGACTCCATCTCACAAAAAAAAAAAAAAAAGAGAAAAGAAAAAAGAAAATTCAGTAATCTGCTCGACAGTCTCACATCCAGTTCTTTGGGTTCTTCAAACAGAGCAGATAGCATCAGCTTTCTTGGCTTAAATTGTGCAAATTTGGTTCCTGGCTGAGAAGTAGATGACAAACAAAGTTCTTCAGTGTTTCAGTGATCAAACATGTACTTCTACAGAATCATAAATGTTGCCACACAGTCGCTATTTTATCAATGATCTTATTGACAAAAACAAGAACACCTAATATCTATTGAAACTGAAGTGACCTCCAACCATGAATACTTCATCCAGTGCTGTACGTGAGAGATGTTTTCTCTTCCATAGATGTGGTTGAAATATGATTCAAAAATTATGTCTCAGTAATAGAAAGGTGAAGAAATTATAACTTGTCAAGCAGATTAACTATATAGAGATCACAAACTTAAAATCCAGATAGACTGGTTCAAATTCAAACGCTTTGAGTGTCAGTTTGTTTGGTGGAGTCATGTTTTAGAAAGATAAGCTCATAAATGGTTCAAATACAGACAACTTTAGCACCTCTCCTAGTTTACAAATTCTGGCCAGCCACAATTTAAACCTCAGTTATGAACTTCTGCTCCAAGATCACCCTGTGACCAACCATCCAAACATAAAACCTCGTGGCTCAAGACCCTGGGGGAGTCTATTGGGTGGAATTATTCAGCCAGTGGCTCCCTTGCCTAGTAAGCTTCTAATAAAGTTAGCTTTTTTTTTTTTTTTAAATAATAATCAGGTTTTTCTGGTGGTCTTATACGAGTCTTTGAAAGCTCATTGTGTAATATTCAGGAAGCAGTAAAGAAGGCTTTTTATACCGTTGAACTCGCCTTCTTTCATACTGTTTATAGTCAATGATTCTGGGATAGATAATACAAGAATAGGGAAGTTGTTCAAATTACGTATTGCCTTACTTTCCCCACTCTCCAACAAGCTCCTGCCACACAGCCCAAAACTCAGAAGCACAACTGCAGTAAGCCAGTACCAGTGAAGGAAGTAAGTTTGCTTCTCCAGGTAGTGCTAGAGAAAGTGTCAAAACCATTGGCCATGTTGAAATCATCCATGCAAAACCATGTTAAGTTGGAGATGTGACAGTGAGTTAGTATAACATTTGCTGGGGCCAGGCACTGTGGCTCATGCCTGTAATCCCAGCACTTTGGGAGGCCGAGGCAGGTTGATCACCTGAAGTCAGGAGTTCAAAACCACTCTGGCCAACATGGCAAAATCTTGCCTCTACTAAAAATACAAAAACTTAACCGAGCCTGGTGGCATGCCTGTAATCCCAGCTACTTGGGAGGCTGAGGCATAAGAATCGCTTGAACCTGGGAGGTGGAGGTTGCAATTAGCCTAGATCACACCACTGCACTCTAGCCTGGGCAACAGAGTGAAGCTGTGTTGCAAAACACACACACACACACACACACACACACACACACAAAACACGTAACTTCAAAGAGTAGCTCTTCAAGTCACTACTCCCATCTCTCTATGCCATGTGATATCACCTGCTTTCTCGCGGGGTGAGGGTTTGGTGGGGGTGGTTACAAGGAAGAACACATCAAGGAGAAGCACCAGAGGTAGCAAGGTCACAAGTGTGGGGCCTAGAAGCGTCATCGCTGCTCACATTAGTGCTGCTGGTGCTGGTCCTCACCCCAACCCCATGTCCAAGCTCAGGAGCACTAATGTTCTGCCGTCCCTCCTGCGCCTCCACTTCATGCTAGAGGCCTTAAAGGACTGCAACCACTGGAAACACAAACAGGCCCCTGGCAAGGCTGGTCTTTGGACAATTGTGAAAGACACAAAAGAAGACAGCTTCTAGGGGAGGCCGTGGTGGCTAACGCCTGTAATCCCAGTACTTTGGGAGGCCAAGGCAGGTGAGTCATATGAGGTCAGGAGTTCAAGACCATCCTGGCCAACATGGTGAAACCCTGTCTCTACTAAAAATGCAAAAATTAGGCCGGGTGCGGTGGCTCACGCCTGTAATTCCAGCTACTTGGGAGGCTGAGGTAGGAGAATTGTTTGAACCTGGGAGGTGGAGGTCTAGTTTTATTCCATTGTGGTCAGAAAAGATACTTGATATGATTTATATTTTTTTGAATGTCTTCAGACTTGTTTTGTGGCCTAAGATATGGTCTATTCTGGAGAATGTTCTATGTGCTGATGAAAATGTGTATTCTGCGACAGCTGGCTGAAATGTTCTCCTATTGTGAGTTAGACCTATTAGATATAGTGTGTAGTTTAACTCT